AAAAATACCAATGTCAGTTACTACTCTTCATCGAAGCGATGAATCTGGTTCATGTGAACTTTCAAATCTTGTCGATTATTGAAATCTTCGTTACATAACGAGCAGTTCAGTTCATATTGTATGACGGTAGCATTGGTTCCATTCGATTTCTTATGAGATGACAAATTCCCTGCAAAATCAACGTACACATTCACTTGCTCAGTTTGTAAGTGATTTTTAGTAATATGTTCGTGTAAGTCATCATTCGAACGGTACGTTTGATCACAATGGATGCACGAATAGTTCAGCACTATTTCTGTACTGGTGTTTACCTTTGTTTTATGTTGTTTGAGTATGCTATGAATATCTTTTAGATTGATGTCGGATGGTTTGACTACCTTTTTAACAAACAATTTGCCACGACCGTACCGTTTCCATATTTTGGGAAATTCTTGTGAATACGGTGGATTTGGACCACAAATAATTAAGATAAATGGATAATTATCAATCTCATTGGCCAGGAAATGCAGAAGACCTTGCCCATTGCACGAGGATCGTATTTGTACCCGAGGTATGTCAGGCGAATTGAGTAGGATTTTACCCTGAAGAATTTCTGGTTCACTACAGAAAATGTAAAATTTGCAATTGGGTGGAATTTTAGTTAGTTGCTCAACATCGTCAAAGATTTTGACACGATCGTCATCGCCGTCGAATAGAACAAGTTGGTTGGAACTCATTTTGAATTATCGAGAAAGTTATATGCAATTTATAAATTTATATTGTGTTTTTTCCCAGTCTGAATACGAGATGCGTCATCATTGTGAGCAAGAATACTCTTCTCCTTTACGTATCGTATAAACAACGTGGTTTTTATTTTGTTTTGAGCTGATCGTCACAAAAAAGAATAGAAAAGAAAATCAATTTCGGAGGCTTGTAGAAAACGTCGGTTGTTCTTTTTGAGTATAATGTTCCGTTGAAGAATGTTTACATTTCGTGCATTTTGGATTTCCAACTCCGAATGCGCCCAGAAAGCCGAGCCGATCGGAAAATAAGTTACAGAAGCTTATAGGTGGTGAATGGCAATCTTCACAGCAGATTATTCGACAAATCGAACAGTAAATTGGCATCTTTCGTATGGTTTGTGAAAGTGAAGTTTATGATATTGTGTATGAAAGTAAAAGAAAAACAACGAGTTATAGTCTCGTCTTTATCAGTGCGCGACGTTTGCATTTTGTGGAGAGGAGTCAAACAAGAGATAAAACCGTAATGATAACGAACTTGAAAGCAAAGATTTGGCCAGGGAGACTAAATAATAATGAAGAAGCAGAATCAAAACCTGACACTCATGTGTGTATATCGCGATCATCTCGCGTAACGAAGGAGAGCTGTCAGTACAGATTCAAATCGCATGAGCTTTGCATTTCATCAATTATCTGAGTGGAATAATTGCGACACATATTCGATACAGTTCTCCGATCTTAGCAATGTTTGAATATGTTCAATCGAGGATCCAAACTTGCTTGAATGCGAAAATGGTCGAGGAAAGACAGAATGAGTAAAAAAAGCACTACTTTTGAAAGCTATTGTGAGATAAAAACAATAGATCTATTTTCATACTGAAGATTGTCGGATGGGTGCAAAATGTTGCACTAGAACACAAAACAGAGCTGAAATATTGAACATAGAATAGCTGCGCGCAGAGTATCGACTGGAGATGTCGTACACAAACAAGAAAGAAAAGCGCTACTTCAGAAGTAGACGAAGTCTCGCTGTTTCTACTTGTTTTATTCTTTCTAGTCATGGCCATGGATACGTAAACACACTGTATTGTGATAAGATTATATCTGGTGATACGTAGGAATTCATCAGAGTTTGTAGGTATTTCACTACGCCTTTGCCAGAGATATTGAAAGTCGAACTATCTATCGAGTAGAACTTTGAAAATCAGTAGATATATGTGAATCTTGATATTCAAACACATCGAAGTTGTTGCATAAGTAGGAACATCTCGATTTTATTGACTACCACCAAAGTCTGGCATGTTCATATTGTCCAAAATCTGCTAAAACTTAGGTTTAGTTGATTTCTGACTATACTTAATATGGAGCTGTTTTATTTTTTGTCTCTAGCTTCACCTTTTGGCGATTTGAAATTGATTGAAGAATTGTTATCGATTTATTGTTGAGATAAGATCTTTGATATTATTTTTAACAATCTTTATCGAAGGTGAATTGTCTACAGAAGAATACCAAGTTTCTTAATTTCAAAGAATGAAAGAATTTCACCAGTAAAACGTCGAAGTATAAAATTTTCGCAAATTTATATGGAATTCATTTTATGTAGACGAGGATAATCAAATGAAAGAAGAATTCGCTCGATCGAAATTGGTTCACAAATTGAGACATTCAATGTCTACTTCTGTTAACTCTTCGTTCCTCACATTTTTTGCATTCTCTATGTCATCGACGAGATGACATCAGGATCGAAAGGGTTAATTGAAGAGTTTGACTATAAAGTGGATCACGTAGTAATTGACTAACACAAATAAATAAATAAATAGAGTACATAAGTATTGCTAAGATGATTCCAAATTTTCATGATCAATTCGGGAGAAAGAGCCATTATACCAACAGCTGAGTTCTACATATCAGATGAGCAAGAAAAACAACCTGAACAAATAGTAGTGTTGATTTACATAATACGTGCATGAATGATATGTTCGATGTGTTCTTTTGATGGAGATATGTTAATTTCATTTATCTGAATTCAATGATGAAGACATATTTGTATACCTTTGTGCATAGTATCATAGTGTAATACGTACTCAGGCGGAAATCAGTACATTGCGAAAAAAGTTTTTGATTAACTTTCGTTTCTTCATAGTATAACTTTGCAATGGAGTATAATAACGTTTGAAACTTTTCTGTTGGAAAGGACAAAGTCTCCAATGTAAGAATATATAAGAGAAGTTGATGATAACTGTTCTCCGAGAATCACAAAAGCTATTCCGCAGTCTCTGCCATATTTTTGGCAATCAAGATATACCACTATTCTTGTCAATAATACTTGAGATAATCTAACCCGATCTGCTGTTAGAAGCGAAATTGATATCGTTGAAGGAAATATCTTCTCAAATCATCGTAGAATTGCTTCACCATCCATGACCGTTTGTATATTGTGGAATTATGCTTTTTCATACGATGTGATGATTCCTTCGCCTGGATATCTATACAATGCGTATGTAGAAGTATCACGCAAACCTTTTCGTGACCATTTCACTGTAGATTGACCATGCATATATCTTTATTCTCACATATTTAGGCATTTCTCGGTTGTTTTCCGTGTAATGATTATCAATACAATGAATATTCATGATGAACACTCAACACCACACAAAATAACTGTATTGAATTAATCACCGTCGACGCTGGTGCAAATCATCATTTATACGACACAATAAATTTCACAGGAGAGTCGTGTCCTATCCAGTGTAGTCGAAGAGGATATTCTAGTGAAAATCCTTCCATATTGGTACGGGAAATTCATCATCGTCTTTCCCGAGAAATGAATCGCAAGATAGAAGACATACCAACGGTATGCAGTTTGATCAATTATCGTCGAACAAAATCTTCATAGTTCTTTTCAGGTACCATCAATCTATAACATCCTAAAGAAAATTTGAGCGTACGGGTGTTATCTTCCGATTCAAATCCACCATCGCACTCTTTTTGCGAATATCGGAATTGTATATATCGTGTCAAAAAACAAATACATCAAACGCCTGTGTGATATTTCACAACAAATTCTAATATTCCATTAAAAAGCATATCAATCATTTGTATTTGAAATAAATCCAACGTAGAAACAGGTGAATAATCTTTATGACAACCGATGTCAACAAGAAAAGTGTTATTGAGTAGCAGAGAACTCCTGCAGTTCTGTGTATAAATCTATTCTCAAGTCTTTTTGTAAGATGAGGACTTTAAAAAAAATATATATATATCGCAAAGCCAACATTTTGGAAAAGGACTCAACTGTCGTCGGACAATATCTGTGAAAACGATTCAGTGAACATTATGAAGGCAAAAACGTTGTTCAAATGGATCTATGAACAAGTGTTGCATTACAATGTTTTCATGTTAGAAGAGAATGATTATGATGACGATCATGACATCATAGATCCCATTGTTGCTCTGAAATATCAAAAATATAAAACATGGTTGTACATTACACTCAGAACAGGTAGATCTTTCGGACTGGAAACAACTTGCTTTGCTATATTTGTCATCATAGTATGTTTCTATGTTTTATTATATGTCATTCTGATCAAAATGGAACCGAAAACGATTGCTGTTTCCAACATAACACCTGATCTCTTTGCTAAGTTGCATGCTCAATATGGACGAACTCTTTCGTGTCCGTGCAAAACAACGACCATACCGTATAAGAATTTTCTCACACACAATGTCACTGTGCATCCTGTGTGTTCGAGTGATTTTGTTGAGCGAGCGTGGATTGAAGGACTGTATTTAGAGAACGCAAGCCACTACGGTGGTTGTGATTTTCGAACAACAGCTTATTCACAGGTTAGTCAATACTCAATCTCTGTCACGCGATTGAAAAATTGGATTGATATTCTTGTTTTGATTTAGTTTAAACTTTTGTCGGAGTTCTGTTCACTTTCGAACGAAATGATTGCTCAGATTCAAACAGACATCGCCAACACCGATATAATTTCGATTGAGCTCGGTTCCGAAATGGAAATTCGAAAGGCAGTTGATGGTTTCATTAAATCAAAAAGGCACACTGTATCTGATCAAATGATATCATTTCTGAACTATTTGAGAACGACAATTCAAGGATATTTTCTAGTTACGGCTCTCGGTACTAATTTGATACTTGGATTAGGAACTCCCGATTACGTCAAATTACGAATGTATGAAACACCTGTGACCCTTTTTGACGCAGAAGGGCTCAGGCGAACCTGCGCCATCGAAAGTCCAATGATTCCAGCTGCTCTTCCTCGAGTACCCAGCGAGCTTATATGTACCTATGATAGATCTACAATGACACTAATGAGTGATTCTACAGTTGTCCAAGGCTTCTTTGCGGGATGTACTCCCCTTGAATCACTTCTTGCAAGCAGATTGGATTGTTTATATAATTCACAATGTATCCAACTGCTGTTCGACTATTTTCCAGATCTAAATCGAGTTCGTCGAATATCATTTTTCGACTTAATCCTTCTCTTCTTTATTTAGAAACATGTCAACCCAATTCTATCATCCCACTATCAAAATATTTCCATCATGAACTATTTAGAAGTTCTTTTCGTTGAAGACTGGTCACCGGACATTGATTTTGCGTCATATTTCAATCGATGTTCACCCTCGATGTGTACATACACAATCACAGGTCGAACAAAGTTTCTGTCTCTATTGACCCTATTCATTAGTGTTTATGGTGGTCTTACAATTATACTACGTTTGATTGCATCCTATTCTTTTGGTATTATATATAACTGGAAAACAAGTCCAGGTTATGAACGCAAAATACTGTTGACAATAATGAAATCGATAAAGAAACTGAACCTGTTCAAAAATACTCTTGATCGAAGTGAAGATGGTGTCAAACAACAACGAATGATCACTCGGGTTTATTTAATTTTATTATTCGGTAAATCTCTTCTTCTTCCATACAGATAGATATACATAAGTGCTCATCTTTTGAAATCTACTCCTTTGAAATTCTCCCTAAAATATCAACGTTTTTTTGGGAAGGCTTNTAGATTGATATCGGATGGTTTGACTACTTTTTTAACAAACAATTTGCCACGACCGTACCGTTTCCATATTTTGGGAAATTCTTGTGAATACGATGGATTTGGACCACAAATAATTAAGATAAATGGATAATTATCAATCTCATCGACCAGAAAATGCAGAAGACCTTGCCCGTTGCACGAGGATCGTATTTGTACCCGAGGTATGTCAGACAAATTGAGTAGTATTCTATCCTGAAGAGTTTCTGGTTCACTACAGAAAATATAAAATTTACAACTGGATGGAATTTTTTTTAATTGTTCAACATCATCAAAGATTTTGACACGATCGTCATCGCCGTCGAATAGAACAAGCTGGTTGGAACTCATTTTGAATTACTGAGAAAGTTATGTGCAATTTTTAAATTTATATTGTATTTTTTCCCAGTCTGAATACGAGATGCGTCATCATTGTGAGCAAGAATACTTTTCTCCTTTACGTATCGTATAAATGACGTGGTGTTTATTTTGTTGTAGGCTGATCGTGACAAAAAAGATTAGAAAAGAAACTCAATTTCGGAGGCTTGTAGAAAACGTCGATTGTTCTTTTTGAGTATAATGTTCCGTTGAAGAATGTTTACATTTCGTGCATTTTGGATTTCCAACTCCGAATGCGCCCAGAAAGCCGAGCCGATCGGCAAATAAGTTACAGAAGCTTATAGGTGGTGAATGACAATCTTCACAGCAGATTATTCGACAAATCGAACAGTAAATTGGCATCTTTCGTATGGTTTGTGAAAGTGAAGTTTATGATACTGTGTATGAAAGCAAAAGAAAAACAACGAGTTATGGACTCGTCTTTATCAATGCGACGTTTGCATTTTGTGAGAGGAGTCAAACGAGAGACAAAACCGTAATGATAACGAACTTGAAAGCAAACATTTGGCCACGGAAACCAAATAACAATAAAGAAGCAGAATCAAAACCTGACACTCATGTCTGTATATCGCGATCATCTCGGTAAGGAAGGAGAGCTATCAGTACAGATTCAAATCGCATGAGCTTTGCATTTCATCAATTATCTGAGTGGAATCATTGCGACACATATTCGATACAGTTCTCCGATCTTAGCAATGTTTGAATATATTCAATCGAGGATCCAAATTTGCTTGAATGCGAAAATGGTCGAGGAAAAACAGAATGAGTAAAAAAGCACTACTTTTGAAAGCTACTATGAGATAAAAAACAATAGGGAAAAGCGCTACCTTAGAGGTAGATGAAGTCTCGCTGTTTCTACTAGATTTATTCTTTTTGGTCATGGCCATGGATACATAAACACACTTTATTGTGAGAAAATTATATCTGGTGATACGTAGGAATTCATCAGAGTTTGTAGGTATTTCACCACGGCTTTGCCACAGATATTGAAAGTCGAACTATCTATTGAGTAGAGCTTTGAAAATCAGTAGATGTATGTGAATTTTGATATTCGAACACATCGAAGTTGTTGCATAAGTAGGAACATCTCGATTTTATTGATTACCACCAATGGCTGGCATGTTCATATTGTCCAAAATCTGCTAAAACTTAGGTTTAGTTGATTTCTGACTACATTTAATATGGAGCTGTTTTATTTTTTGTCTCTAACTTCACCTTTTGGAGATTTGAAATTGAATGAAGAATACGTAAAAGAATGTTTTTATCTTTCAGAAGAATTGTTTTCGATTTATTTTTTAGATAAGATCTTTGATATTATTTTTAACAATCTTTATCGAAGGTGAAATTGTCTACAGAAGAATACTAGTTTTCTTAATTTCAAAGAATGAACCAATTTCACCAGTAAAACGTCGAAGTATAAAATCTTCGCAAATTTGTATGGAGTTAATTTTATGTAGACGACGATAATCAGATGAAAGAAGAATTCGCTCCATCGAAATTGGTTCAGAAATTGAGACATTCAATGTCTGCTTCTGTTAACTCTTTCGATCCTCAGATTTTTTGCGTTCTCTATGTCATCGACGACATGACATCAGGATCGAGAGGGTTAATTAAAGAGTTTGACTATAAAGTAGATCACGTAGTATTTGATTAACACAAATAAATAAATGGAATACATCAGTATTGCGAAGATGATTCCAAATTTTCATGATCCATTCGTGAGAAAGAGCCATTATACCAACAGCTAAGATCTTCATATCAGATGAGCTAAAAAATAAACTCGAACAAATGGTAGCGCTGCTTTACATAATACGTGCATGAATAATATGTTTGATGTGTTCTTTTAATGGAGATATGTTATTTTCATTTATCTGAATTCAATAATGAAGACATATTTGGAAACCTTTGTGCATAATATTATAGTGTAATACGTACTCAGGCGGAAATCAGTACATTGCGAAAGAAGTTTTCAATTAACTTTCGTTTCTCCATAGTATAACTTTACAATGGAGTGTAATAACGTTTGAAACTTTTCTGTTGGAAAGGATAAAGTCTCCAGTGTAAGAATATATAAGAGAAGTTGATGATAACTGTTCTCCGAGAATCACAAAAGCTATTCCGCAGTCTCTGCCATATTTTTGGCAATCAAGATATACCGCTATTGTTGTCAATAATGATTGAGATAATCTAACCTGATCTGTTGTTAGAAGCGAAATTGATGTCGTTGAAAGAAATATCTTCTCAAATCGTCATAGAATTGCTTCACCATCCATGACCGTTCATATATCGTGGAATTATGCTTTTTCATACGATGTGATTACTCCTTCACCTGAATATCTATACAATGCATATGTAGAAGCATCATGCAAACCTTTCCGTGCCGATTTCACTGTAGATTGACGATCAATATGTTTTTATTCTTCCATATTTAGGCATTTCTCGGTTGTTTTTCATGCAAGAATGACATGTCCGGAGTGATGATCGATAGCTGAAAATTTGAATTCTTGATTATTAACAATATAAAATGGATATTCATAATGAACACTCAACACCACATAAAAATGGCTGTACTGAATTAATCATTGTCGAACAAAATCTTCATAGTTCTTTTCAGGTATCATCAATCCATAACATCCCAAAGAAAATTTGAGCGTATGGGTGTTATCTTCCGATTCAAATTCGCCATCGCACTCTTTTTGCGAATATCAGAATTGTATATATCGTGTCAAGAAACAAATACAACAAACGCCTGTGTGATATTTCACACAGCTTCTAATATTCCATTAAAAAGCATATCAATCATTTGTATTTGAAATAAATCCAACGCAGAAACAGGTGAATAATCCTTATGACAACCGATGTCAACAAGAAAAGTATTATTGATTAGCAGAGAACTTCTGCAGTTCTTTTTGTAAGATGAGGACTTTTTAAAAAAAAAGTATATATCACAAAGCCAACATCGATTCAGTGAACATTATGAAGGCAAAAACGCTGTTTAAATGGATCTATGAACAAGTGTTGCATTACAATGTTTTCATGTTAGAAGAGAATGATTATGATGACAACATAGATCCCACTGTTGCTCTGAAATATCAAAAATATAAAACATGGTTGTACACTGCACTCAGAACAGGTAGGTCTTTCGGACTGGAAACAACTTGCTTTGCTATGTTTGTTATCATAGTATGTTTCTACGTTTTATTATATGTCACTCTGATCAAAATGGAACCGAAAACGATGGCTGTTTCCAACATAACACCTGATCTCTTTGCTAAATTGCATTCTCAATATGGGCGAACTCTTTCGTGTCCGTGCAAGACAACGACCATACCGTATAAGAATTTTCTCACACACAATGTCACTGTGCATCCTGTGTGTTCGAGTGATTTTGTTGAGTGGCCCTGGATTGAAGGACTGTATTTTGAGAACACAAGTCATTACGGCGGTTGCGATTTTCGAACAACAGCTCATTCGCAGGTTAGTCAATGCTCAGTCTCTGTCACGCGATTGAAAGATTGCATTGATATTCTTGTTTTGATTTAGTTTAAAATTTTATCGAAGTTTTGTTCACTTTCGAATGAAATGATTGCTCAGATTCAAACAGACATCGCCAACACCGATTTAATTTCGATTGAACTCGGTTTCGAAATGGAAATTCGAAAAGCGGTTGACGGTTTCATTAAATCGAAAAGGCAAAGTGTATCCGATCAAATGATATCATTTCTGAACTATTTGAGAACGACAACTCAAGGATATTTTCTAGTTACGGCTCTCGGCACTAATTTGATACTTGGATTAGGAACTCCCGATTACGTCAAATTACGAATGTATGAAGCACCTGTGACCTTTCTTGACGCAGATGGGCTCAGGCGAACCTGCGCCGTCGAAAGTCCAATGGTTCCAGCTGCTCTTCCTCGAGTACCCAGCGAGCTTATATGTACCTATGATAGATCTACAATGACACTAATGAGTGATTCTACAGTTGTTCAAGGCTTCCTTGTGGGATGCACTCCCCTTGAATCACTTCTTGCAAGCAAATTGGATTGTTTATATAATTCACAATGTATCCAACTGCTGTTCGACTATTTTCCAGATCTAAATCGAGTTTGTCGAATATCATTTTTCGATTTAATCCTTCTCTTCTTTATTTAGAAACATGTCAACCCAATTCTATCATCCCACTATCAAAATATTTCCATCATGAAATATTTAGAAGTTCTTTTCGTTGAAGATTGGTCACCGGACATTGATTTTTCATCATATTTCAATCGATGTTCACCCTCGATGTGTACATACACAATCACAGGTCGCACAAAGTTTCTGTCTCTATTGACCCTATTCATTAGTGTTTATGGTGGTCTTACAATTATACTACGTTTGATTGCATCGTATTCTTTTGGTATTATATATAACTGGAAAACAAGTCCAGATTATGAACGTAAAATACTGTTGACAATAATGAAATCGATAAAGAAACTGAACCTGTTCAAAAATACTCTTGATCGAAGTGAAGATGGTGTCAAACAACAACGAATGATCACTCGGGTTTATTTAATTTTATTATTCGGTAAATCTTTTCTTCTTCCATTCAGATAGACATACATAAATATTAATCTTTTGAAATCCACTCCTTTGAAATTCTCCCTAAAATATAAACGGTTTTTCTTGGGAAGGCTTTAATCATTCTTGCCTGAAATTCTAGGTTCAATATGCTCTCTGTATCTATTCGCTTCACTTCGCAAGGCATCAGTCACGACACTTGAATCCAATCCTGAACTCGAAACTTACAATTCATTAGAATCGATATACTCTGCAACACTTCGATGTCCATGTGCGAATAAAGCAATACCTTACAACAATTTTCTCTCGTTTTCTCCAGTGCTTCATCCCATATGTTCCAGTAGCTTTGTTCACCCAACTTGGATTAGAATACTGAAGTCGTCGTATTATCCTATTCCCCACGGTAATGACTGGCGGCATGAAGCACATATACAATTTCAGATCTTGTCTGATCTTTGCCAATCAGCCAACAAGACAATTATTGATGCCATTAGCCGCTTTCTCAACCAATTTTTTATTGCATCATCAATGATGAATGCAGCAGATTTTGCTAAGCAGCTGAACGCAACTCTCGAGCAGTTTTATCAATCAACGGTCTATGACTTTATTTTTGTCCAAGATATTGCCAATGTCATCATGCAAACTGATCGATTTTATAAGGGATCTGCGCAAGCATCGGAACAGAGTGCTGAATTACATCCGAGTCTTAATTTAATAACAGATGAAACAAGTAACCGTCAAATAACACAAGTACGTCAGTTTTTTTAAACATTATTTGATAGTGTGGAAACGTATGGGGATCGAACTCGACCTACCTTTGGCTCATTAGTTCCTTGCTCTATATGACCAAAGATTATAATCAATACCACTGTTATGCTTTTGACTTTTAGCCCATTAGAATCTGTTTAGGATCGCGATCGAGTAGAGATCGAAGAGCGTCGCAGCAGGTTACATATGCAACATTCTGAACCATCGCGATTGCGCTAATAGTTCTTTAGATGACGAAATTGTGCATAATCAGTTTATAAATAACGAAAGAGTCTATTCGCTTTTTACACCTGTGATCATCTTGTTCAGACGAACTGAAGAAAGAAAAGGCTGGAAACAGAAATAATCGTAGGAGATTTTGTCTATAGGTGCAGTTTACTTTAAACGCAATTCCAGCATTTAACTCAGCATCGCGTGGATGTATTTGTACCATCAACCCACATTGTGAATGGCCAGCTGCTATCTTTGAAACGAATTATATCGATCCTTTCAACAAAAGCGCCGACATCGTATACCAGATACCAGGTTGGATGCGAAGCTGCTCTACCATGGATTCACTTTTACTTTCCACGCTTCGGTGTTTCTACCAAGATTCATATTGCTTTCTAATTATATTGGGCTACATAGGCATACCTGAGCATAATTTTTTAGATCTTTTGTCAACATTTTATCTACGACCTCTCGTTTATGATCCAACAAGAGATCGTCATCCACCTGACAAAGCTTTGTCGGCTATTGTTAAACAAATGATGATCGAACAATGGAATCCGGTGTCATCGTATGAGCAATTCTATAAATCATGTGCGCCATTATATTGCTCTTATTCTCAAACAAATCGAAAAGCATCTTTTATTAGCGTAGTTACGACACTAGTGTCGATGGTAGGTGGTCTTGTCGTTTCACTACGTCTTTTAACACCCCATCTTGTTAACTTCGTTTCGAAATTGTTGAAAATGTTCAAAGGCAAAAGAGAACACAGAACGCAAGGTAACTGATAATTCATAACACTACTTTTCTTCATATAGATTCAAAGAGATATTATACATTGGAAAACATTTTTTAGTTATAGTGCGACCTAACTTTCTCAATCAAGTGAAAAACATAGTATTAAAGCTCACTAAACTCTTACGCACAACTCTAGTCGAGTTAAATATATTTACACTACGCGACTTTGACAGTCGTGTTGATCGAGTCACAGCAAAACAGTTTGGCCGGTGGGCGACTCGTCTCTACTTGATTTTATTTACTGGTTCCATCAGTATTTTATTGTTCTACGGAATTGCACAACCACAATCTTCAACAACAAACTTTGACCGACCAAAGTTCGCTTTCTACAATGATTTGAGAAACCGCTATAATGACGAATTGAAATGTACATGTTCAGTCATATCATCGAAATATGATCAATTCGTGCAAGTCGAACCGATATTTCATCCAGTAGGAGAAAATCTGTAATGATACTGTTGATCACTAAGTTTCCTTGTAGATTTGTTCGAGTCTATTCATATCAGAAGAATGGCGACTCGATTTAGTAAATGGGCTCTCTCTCAATTTAACCGAATATAAGCAGACCGATTATCGTCGATTTATTTTTGCTCATTTGCAATATCTCCAAGGTCTATGTCGTCTTTCCATGGGGCCAGTCAATAATACGATTCATGAACTTCTGTCATCATTGTTAGTTACTATCGAGCTTCTGTCCGAGGACAGTTTTCGAGAACATGTGGACATGTTTATCAAACACAGTAGATCCAACGCTCCAGTGGTGCTGTCNAATAATGAAATCGATAAAGAAACTGAACCTGTTCAAAAATACTCTTGATCGAAGTGAAGATGGTGTCAAACAACAACGAATGATCACTCGGGTTTATTTAATTTTATTATTCGGTAAATCTCTTCTTCTTCCATACAGATAGATATACATAAGTGCTCATCTTTTGAAATCTACTCCTTTGAAATTCTCCCTAAAATATCAACGTTTTTTTGGGAAGGCTTTAATCATTCTTGTCTGAAATTCTAGGTTCAATATGCTCTCTGTATCTATTCGCTTCACTTCGCAAGGCATCAGTCACAACACTTGAATCCAATCCTGCACTCGAAACTTACAATTCATTAGAATCGATATATTCAGCAACACTTCGATGTCCATGTGCGAATAAAGCAATACCTTACAACAATTTTCTCACGTTTTCTCCAGTGTTTCATCCCATATGTTCCAGTAGCTTTGTTCACCCAAATTGGATTAGAATGCTGAAGTCGTCGTATTATCATATTCCCCACGGTAATGACTGGCGGACTGAAGCATATATACAATTTCAAATCTTGTCTGATCTTTGCCAATCAGCCAACAAGACAATTATTGATGCTATTAGCCGCTTTATCAACCAATTCTTTATTGCATCATCAATGATGAATACAACGGATTTTGCTAATCAGCTGAACGCAACTCTCGATCAGTTTTATCAATCAATAGTCTATGAGTTTATTTTTGTCCAAGATATTGCCAATCTCATCATGCAAGCTGATCGATTTTATAAGGGATCTAAGCAAGCATCGGTGCAGGGTGCTGAATTACGTCCGAGTCTTAATTTAATAACAGATGAAACAAGTAACCGTCGAATAATACAAGTACGTCAGTTTTTTTAAAACATTATTTGATAGTGTGGAAGCGTACGAGGATCGAACTCGACCTACCTTTGGCACATTAGTTTCATGCTCTATATGACCAAAGATTATGATCAATACCACTGTTATGCTTTTGACATTTAGCCCATTAGAATCTGCTTAGGATCGCGATCTAGTCGAGATCGAAGAGTATCGCAGCAGATTACATATGCAACATTCTGAACCATCGCGATTGCGCTAATAGTTTTTTAGGTGATGAAATTGTGCATAATCAGTTTATAAATAACGAAAGAGTCTATTCGCTTTTTACACCTGTGATCATCTTATTGAGACGAACTGAAGAAAGAAAAGACTAGAAATGAAAATAATCGTAGGAGATTTTGTCTATATAGGTACAGTTTACTTTCAACGAGATTCCAGAATTTAACTCAGCATCGCGTGGATGTATTTGTATCATCAACCCACATTGTGAATGGCCAGCTGCTATCTTTCAAACGAATTACATCGATCATTTAAACAAAAGCACCGGCATCGTGTACCAGATACCGGGTTGGATGCGAGGCTGCTCTACCATGGATTCACTTTTACTTTCCACGCTTCAGTGTTTCTACCAAGATTCATATTGCTTTCCAATTGTATTGGGCTATATAGGCAAATCTGAGAACGATTTTTTAGATCCTTCGTCCACATTTTATCTACGACCTCTCGTTTATGATCCAACAAGAGATCGTCATCCACCTAACAAAGCTTTGTCGACTATTGTCAGACAAATGATGATCGAACATTTGAATCCGATCTCATCGTATGAGCAATTCTATAAATCATGTGCGCCATTATATTGCTCTTACTCTCAAACAAATCGAAAACCGCCTTTTATTGGCGTAGTTACGACACTGGTGTCGATGATAGGTGGTCTCGTCGTTTCACTACGCCTTTTAACACCTCATATTGTTAACTTCACTTTGAAATTGTTGAAAATGTTCAAAGGCAAAAGAGAACACAGAACACAAGGTAACTGATCATTCATAACACTGCTTTTCTTCATATAGATTCGAAGAGATATTATACATCGGAAAACATTTTTTAGTTATAGCGCGACCTAACTTTCTCGATCAAGCGAAAAACATAGTATCGATGCTGATGAAACTCTTACGCACAACTCTAGTCGAGTTAAATATATTTACACTACGCGACTTTGGCAGTCGTGTTGATCGAGTCACAGCAAAACAGTTTGGCCGCTGGGCGACTCGTCTCTACTTGATTTTGTTTACTGGTTCCATCAGTATTTTATTATTCTACGGAATTGCACAATCACAACCTTCAACAACAAACTTTGAGCGACCAAACTTCGCTTTCTACAATGATTTGAGAAATCTCTATAATGATGAATTGAAATGTACATGTTCAGTCATATCATCGAAATATGATCAATTCGTGCAGGTCGAACCGATATTTCATCCAGTAGGAGAAAATTTGTGATGATACTATTGATCACTAAGTTTCTTTGTAGATTTGTTCGAGTCTATTCATATCAGAAGAATGGCGACTCGATTTAGTAAATAGGCTCTCTCTCAACTTAACCGAATATAAACAGACAGATTATCGTCGATTTATTTCTGCTCATTTGCAATATCTTCAAGGTCTATGTCGTCTTTCCATGGGGCCAGTCGATAATACGATTCATCAACTTCTGTCATCATTGTTAGTTACTGTCGAGCTTCTGTCCGAGGACAGTTTTCGAGAACATGTGGACATGTTTATCAAACACAGTAGATCCAACGCTCCAGTGGTGCTGTCTCGTTTTCTTCTGTTCACTCAAAATATATTCCATGGGAACGCTTTCATATCAACTTATGGTACAAACTTCGAATACGTGGTTGAAATGGCCCATGAATGGTCAGGATACGTACTAACGAGACCAGTTGAGTACGATAACAATTGCTCCTGTGGAATGTCATCAAGTTGTTCAACTCAAGCCGTTTTCATCGAAAGGAATCTTTCAAGAACAATACCGATCAATGGTATGAAAATGGGCTGTACTCCAAGCCAATCATTTCTTTCTTCGACTCTTGAGTGTTTTTATAACCAATCATGTCTCAATCTGATCCAGCACTATACTGGCTCGAACACATTGCCAGGCCCTCTTCTCGCGGAAAAAAGTCGCTTCTCCCCGAGTAACACAACAATAGCTGAACTTGTGAATGAATTATTTCTTGAAGATTGGTCAATAGATAAGAATTATTCTTTGTACTATGAACGATGTTCGCTACTGGTCTGTTCTTATACTATCCTGGAAAAATTCAATATCATCTATATCATCACTCTTGTACTTGGCCTTCAAGGTGGCATAACAATAGTCCTCAAATGGTTTTGTCCAAAGATGATTCGCCTTGGATTCAAAATTTATAATCGACGAAAAAACCAAGTAACCGCTGTTGATCCTGCTACGACCGATGATACAACTATTCGACAAACGACCTTAAATTCTGAAATCATACCAGCGTAGATAATCTTCTACATTTCGTTCTCGATTATCGATCTATTTTGTATTTAGGAACAGTGCTGTGACACGCAGTCGATCGTTTCGAAAAATCATGTGTACAGTCGTTCTTTTGATATGTGTAGCAATTGGTATTAGTTGCTTTTCGATCTATTATGCATACGAAAGTAAGTGGAAAAAACATTCCTATTTTCAATCTCAAGAGCGTTTGAGACAATTGTCACATCTAATGCTTTGTCTTTGTTTTATAGACCGTTTGACAACAACCAATGCACCGATAGCTGATAATTTCAGTACCACAACAACTATTACGGCAATGTCTACAACATCGAATGTATCAGGTCAGTTTTTGAGCGATTAGTAAAACGAGTTTCATGTGAAGATAATCGAACACATTGCTTTGAACTTTGATAACATTTATATTGTATAATCGTTTAGAACCAGTGTGCTTGTTTAAATATGAGCAGGTGCCAATTGATTCATCATGTTCATTCATAACTTCGCGTGCAACTGTTGTTAAAGATATCAATGGTGACAATCACATCGATTTAATATTTTCTTGTGGTGGAATCATAACTGAAATGATGCATGTCTTACTCGGCAATGGTAAAAGTTCTTTTCGACAAGTGTTCATGTTTCCGCCGAGAGATCTTCTTGACAAGATAGGTTGGATTCGCGTTGCCGATTTAAACAACGACCATCGAGCTGATCTAGTTTTGGCTCATTACAGGTACTCCGAAATAAATATCACTATACTGTTTGGCAATGGAAATGGTACGTTTCAAATGGAAACTGGACGCTCTTTACTTTTAACTGGTTCTGTAAAACACATCAGTATAATAGATGTGAATAATGACACTAAGCTAGACCTCGTTGCTATAGCTGAGTCCCCTAATCACATCAATGTATATTATGGCAATGGGAATGGAACGTTTTCATCACGATTAGTCTTGTTGATTGGGATCAATAGTATTGCCGACCAATTAGCTGTTGCTGATTTGGATAACGACAATTATTTAGATCTCATTGTGATGGACATAGCTACTTTTAGTATACATGTGTTTTTTGGGGATAACAGTGGAAGTTTTCAATTACATAAATGGTTGTTAGTCTCCATAACCACTTTTAAAACCACAATGATAGTCGCTGATTTTGATGGCGATCTTCAATCTGACATTATTTTAGCTCAGAGCCACATAGATACTGTTTTTGTGACCTATCGATATAATAATGGTACCTTTCATGATAAGAAACAAATTGTTATGAAATCTTATTTACCATTTCACTCAGTGACCTTAGGTGATTTAAACCATGATAAACTTTTAGACATTGTTGTCACTAAGGATGGTCGTTATGAGATCTATGGCTTTCTTCAAGATCGAAACGGTAATTTTCAAGTTCAAGCTATCTATTTAGGTAAAACATATGGTGACGAGTCTTGGAGTGATGTGGAAGATTTTAACAATGACAACTGTCAAGATATAATAAGTGTATCGACTGAATTTGAAATGAGAAGCATATTTTTGAATACGTGTGAATGTCCTTGAGAAATGAAACTATCTGTAACAAAAAACTCTCCTGCTCTAATTTGTCTTTTTGCTTTTTTTTATTGCTCGCTTGCTTTTATGTCCGCAATTCAATGGTTGTTTCAGAAAGAAATTGAAATAAATATAATTTTTTCATTCACTCGAACGAAAGATAATTTCTAATGGGAGTTGGAGTTAACGAATCATTTCAAATAATGACTAACAGCTCAGAATACGTATTTGGCTGATAATTCCACAATAACATTCATAAACGCATCAAACATATGTTTATAATATCGCGATAATTTTCTTTGTCAAAACTCGGTTTCGTATCATTTCGTCTCATTTCACATACATAGAAAAAAGTCATTAATTTAATCAATACTTCTATGGAAAACAATAGTTCTGAATAGTGCGAGAGACCTCTAGAATAATATATTTAGGCAATTGCTGAGATGAAAATGGTTTACAAGATTGCTCGGTATTGTATCTGTGTTCTTCGTTATCGACACAACTATATTATCTATTTCATTTGGCCTGAACGCAATAAAACATGCAGCTATCAGCTAGTGAACGATACAACTAACCACTACACAACTTCATATTGTATCAAAACATAGGTTCGTCTACTATCATACAAATAATGAATAGAATACAATTCATTTTATCTTGTTTTAGCGAACTGTTCACGTGAAAGTATCGATAAGACTGCTGATCCATGTAAAAACGTCTACAGATTTGCTTGCCGTAAATGATATGAGTTACGATTCGATCTCCTCTCAATATCATAAATCAATGAAACAACTGAATTTAATTCCTCATGTGCTAATGAAAGTAATATCGGACCCGATGCTATCAATGGAATACTTTCTTTGATTCAGAATGAACTTAGTGCTGGGCTAATTCTGTAATAATCAGCATGAAATGAATTAGCATATAATCTGATGAACGTATCAGTTACCCTGAGTCAATACGACGGATTTACATTATTCCACATATCAACATAGATCGATCAAAAGAATTCGCCTAATCCTCCTATTTATGTCCATAGAGACTATGCATATGCATATTTTAGAAGGATCAAGGTAATTTAGGTTTGAAAGATCCATTGCTCAGGTATTGACTTATTGTTTCAGACCGACATTTGATCACATAAATTCATTTTCGTCTTTATGGAGCAAATTTCAATAGTCTACAAAGATTAATCGCTTACGATTCGCATATTTTTACTTGCAAAAACTGTTGATAGATGTATAGACCGATAGAACTCGTTGAGTCGAGTCGAATGAAAGTGTATTCACTAGTGGCACACGCTGAACGACGAATTGGTTCGCAAAATACTACCAAAATAGTTGTAATTTATGCTCAAACACTGGTTCTACGGAAATAAGCAAAGTGAATTCCATATATTCGAATAGAATGCGTCAAGCTGCATCAAATGATGTCAGCCTGGAACGTAGCACATGCAAAGAAACGAATTTTTTTTTGCAAAAATGCAAAAAACGTCGCTAACTTCACTTACATCAAATTAATTTGACAATTATCGTTTGGTCGCATTAATAATTAACGATGGACACATTTACAATTGTCTCATAAACGTCAAAAAGATTTATAAATCTTCAAAACATGAAGATCTCTTTTTCTATTGCATCTGACAATGATATAAAATCTTCCTAGATTTATGAAGGACTACAACAAACAGAAAAGAAGATTTATTATACGCCGCAAATCGATATAGGCTACTCTGACTTTCAAGCAGTAAGTTTGAATGATATAATCTTATTAGGAGGAGTAAAGTTAGAAAATCTGATCACGTTTTGAAGATGAATTGACTCAAATAATGATACCTTTCGAGATAACGTGCAGACCGCGGTTTCTCATAGGGATTTCGTGAAATAAACGATGGAGATTCTATGATATCGCGGTATTTACTTTAAAATAAATTAACATCGTTGGTGTAGTTTGTGAAAGTGAAGTTAACGATAAAGATAAGAAAATATTGTAAATGAAAACACAAGAAAAACCGATGAGTCATTGTCTCGTTTTTATCAGTGCGGTGTTTTGATTTCATTATCTTTACCTTTTGTTGATAAACAGTAAAAACACTCAGATATATGAATAAAGCAAAGTCAATATGAGAATTCTTTTTCAGATACATTTATTTCTATATAACTACTTGTAAAATAGAAGTTTCAAAATGGATGAAAATATCAATGAATAAATAAAGAATCGTCTCTGAGATTTTGAACTAGAATTACACGTATATGTCACTTGATAACTATTAACACACTTTGTATATTGCGAACAAATTCCTGAACATGTTACACAATCGCCACTGGTGTAAAGATCATAATCGATAGAAGACACACTTCCATAACATTTGCAGTGACACACTGTCGCGCCACTCGTGTAAGTCGTACATTGTCCTAATGTTTGTCCAACGGCTGTCAATAATGGGCATATTGATGGATATCGGATTTGACAAGCATATGTACAGGCATAGGTAGAACAAAGGGTAGCTGACGTATTTCCTACATAGATATACGGTGAACAAGTTGTAGTCGAATTACAGCAATAACACGAACAGGGATTGCCGAGATAGGGTCCTATTGTGGTTGTAGTTGTCGATGCTGTGGCTAATCCCAGACATGTACCTATTGTTTGTCCATACTGATTTGAAATACATATAAGTGGATAGGTTGAAGCGCATGCTACACTACATGACCCACTTGAACATGAATAAGCCGACGTATACCCAACAAGCAACGTTGAACATGTTGGGCTTCCTGTGTTACAGCAATCGCACCGGCAGGAATAGGATCCATTTACTGGAGTCGCAATTACCGCGCTTAAACATTGTCCGCTTGATAGTCCGTAGGGATAATCTGCTGAACATAGAGAATATTGACTACGACATGTTGAACGACAACTGTCAGCTGTACAATACGGAGCGTAAACATTTCCAATTGAAGCCACTTGACAGTTCTGACCAAGACAACATGAACATGAACATGGATACTGCGCAGAGATGACGTTGATAAAAAAACTTACAATCAAAATCAAAGAATCGATCATCGTCATATTATTCATGTAATTGAACAATGATATAAACGATTTGAGTGTAATTCATATAACCGAAGTTCACAATTTTTCTGGACAGGGATTGAAAGAAAAAGAGTAATATGATTAAGTCAAAATTTGTGCAAATATATTTCTGTTTTGACCAGGAAATCTATCATAGCAATAAAACGATTTGACTAGGTAGGAAATTATTTAGTTTGTAATACGATCACATACAACATGTCTATGTTTTATTTCGCCATTAGGGTGAGAGAATAACAGGAACGAAGTTATTCAATGACAAACGAGACGCGAAGGAATGAAAAAGGAATAAAAATCAAACGGCACTAAGGTTTATAGTGGCGCATTATATAAACAGAAGAAGAAAGAAAAATTGTCATCAGTCATGTAAAGAAAAGAAATCAACGAGAAAAAGGACATTCAACAGAGAATGACGACAGATGGTACTCTTGGTATTGAATAAAGATCGAAAGGCCAAAAAATGTTTTGTCAATCTGATTTTTTGGTTATAGTTGAAAAGAGAGATTTGTCGTTCTGATAACATTTCGAGATGATTATTAAAAAGAACAATATCAGTAGCATAATATATTTATTTCATTTCTTTATCAAAACTACGCTAATGAGCAAACAAAGAAAAAAAAACAAGTCAAGTGATGAGTTTGTCTTCTTTCCAAACACCTTTGTGAACTTTACCATCCGCATACATCATTTTTCCTTTGCCGTCTTTTTTACCATTCTTGAAATTACCTTGAAACAAATCGCCATTGGCATATTTGTAAACTCCACGTCCATGGAACCTATTGTTGAGAAAAACTCCTGCATACACGTCACCATTCGCCGCAGAGAGAACACCATATCCAATGATTTGACCATTGACAAACCTACCCTCATATCTCGTACCTTTTTTCGATGTCAGTACACCTTTCCCATTGAACTTTCCGTTTTCAAATGGTCCAACATACTTCTTTCCATCAGTAAAATAATAAACGCCTTGTCCACGTTTTTCCCCATTTTCAAAGTGACCTTCGTACCGCGCACCATTTTTCCATGTCATCACGCCTTCTCCATGAAATTCCCCATCTTTGAACTGACCAAAATATTTAGTTCCATCAGTAAAATAATAAATACCATGTCCAGTTCTTTCGCCGTTTCCAAAGTGACCTTCGTATCGCTCACCATTAGCCCAAGTCATCACACCTGTCCCATCTAATTTGCCATTTTTGAACTGACCAAAATATTTAGTTCCGTCAGGAAACTTATAAGTGACATTTTTGTTCACTTTTTTATTATTTTCGCGAAGATCGTTGTTGTAATGATAAACATCTAGTACAAAATCAAACGAGTCATGTTGCCGTAGTTCTTACTGCACAATTTTGTTCCATAATATTGCACTATTCTTCTTATACTTACGTATAACTTGGTTTGTGCTAGTTCTTCTTGTAGTGGTTATCGTTTTGGTCTTATTTTTATCGGAAGATCTAAAAGTTCCACATTCCACATGCTCAAGCACGACAAACAGGACGCAAAAGACGATCTACATTCAAAGACATGTTCACACAAACATACAGAATAATATCGGGAATTTTATTTCTACGAACCAAATGTTTTGTTGTCTGCATGATAGTTGTAAATGAATATCTGTTTCATGTTCGTTCATCTATTTATATATCCATGCGCGGAGTCATAGACTGTTTATTGCATCTTACACATGTGTGAAAAACAACTGGAATATCGTTTTCTCTCAACGTTTTATCCACTTGAAGATATGAAATTAATCTATGCGGAAAATAAATTTTGCTTCATCTTTTTTATGACACTTATAGTTCACACCTTCGTTAATTGCACATCGTATAGATCTATCTATAAACAAATACCGTCGAGAGAACAATCATCAAGCTTCTTTTGAAATTCATCGTCCTTAATAAATGTGATCGTTAAGCTACATGTTAAGTATTTCTTTTGTGAGAGAAAAAAAACAACCAAACAAGATTTCAGTGATATAGGAGAAACATTGATAATCAAAAGGAAATTTCATGTATTCAAGATTATTATGATTAGGAAGCAAAATAAAACGTAGGGGCAATGTCAAATTATTGTTCAAGATGCATGAAAACATCTCTCAGTTAACGAAGAATGCGTTTCATTCGTAGTTTGTGTCGATCTTTTGCTTGGATATTGACTGGATTCAACACATTTGCGATTTTAGTGAACATGGCATATAGTGTCACAGCGTATACAGGCATTAATGTAACTAAGAAAACAGCGGTCATCGTAGCAACAGTTTGTTTGCAAGCGTCTTCCTATTCGATCGATTGATGTGTTTAGTCATACTCGAAAGTGGATAAGTAACTTACGAAATCTTTGGGGTACATTACGGCAACTGTAGATTCAGTTGTTGCGCCTGATGTCGTTGGACCTACTGTTGTTGGAGCTGGAAAAGAGAAGAAAAATTCGAATTGTATGAATAAGAAAAAATTCCTTCTCACCAGCTGTAGTTGGAGGTGAATTAGTTGTGGTTGTTCCATTGGTTGTAATGGGTGTTGTTGTTGTTACTACAATACCAGTTGTTGTCAACTAGTTATATCAATAGATAAATGAATGTGAGATATTAATTATATACAAATGAACCTACAAGAGTATTGATACTGGTTGTTGATGTTGGTTTTGTTGTTACTGTTGCAGTTGTGAAGGGTGTAGTCGTCGTTGTGGTCGTGCTGGAAACTGCTGGATTCCAAATATTGAATACCCAAAACGTTGGATCTGTGATCGGTGCTGACTCAGCATCTTTTCAAGTCAAACTCATTCTACTAATTTCATTCCCAGGTAAAGTAAAATAACTTACGACAAAACACACTTCCACTTGCAAAACCACTATCCATTGTTACGTAGTAGAACGCACCGGGTGTCCACGTAAAATTTGTAACAATAACAATGGTATATCCTGTATAGATCACATTCGGTGCATATCCAGCGTCGTAACAGAGAACTGACGCGTTTGATGAAGCATTATGAAAACAGATGTTTGTATTGTTGCGAGTTGGACGACCAACTAAACTTGTTGCTAAAATAAAACCATCATAAAAGATTAACGCATAAAACTGGAACAAATAGACTAACCTTCAATTGAGAACATTGATTGATTTGCAAAGACAGTGCCGACTGGACTTGCAGATCCTTGGACAACTGTGGGACGGATGATGTTTGGTGATGTATAGTCAACTAAATAGGTTATACACCAGGGATCTGATTGTAAACTACTATTGTCAACGGCACCGGCACAGAAACCTTGAGGACCAGCTTGTGATGCTTGCGGTGTCCATGTCAACACCATTGTCCATGTATCTAAAATATATTTTCAAATTGTAGATTCCAAAGCTTTTCCGTTCTTATTGTTTATGGTTGATTACGTACTAGCGCTTGGATTAGCAATGGCACTATGCTGCATTCCAAGTGGTGAACTAGTAACGAAATCAACAATGGCTTGGCCGGGACAGTATGTTTGAACAACTATTGTTTCATTCAATTGAACACCTGAAATAGAAATTCAAACGATTGGAACAAAGACGAGAAAATCTTCATTAGCGCTAATTACCAATTGGAACACCAATACAGGCTATAGAATAAAATAAATGAAAAGAAATAATAAAATTAGTGAGTATTTTAGCTTATTTCATACCTCGGTTTGGTCGCACACCAATGATTTGAGGACGTTGTGGACATGCAGTACTAGAAGGTGTATATCCATAGAATAAGAATACAATCGGAACAGAACTCATTGGATTTGTAGCAGCAGAGTTATAGTAATCTTCGATTTGAATAGAACATGCATAGTATAAATTAGCAGTTGGCAGTGTGAACGATACTGTACAATTGGATCCAGTTAATACATATCCGGATGGCAATGCACTACAAACACCTGCACATTCATCGACTCGATTATAGTTGCTCCCCGAATTTGAATCAGACCAACGACATTGCAATATATCGGTTCCATCATTGTCGGCCATTTGTATGATATGAGTGATCCGCGTGTTTATTGGATAAAACACCACCGGTAGTGTCGTTGTCACTGGACTACTATTGATAAAACCATCAGGCCTCAGACCTAAATTCAGTCGATTTACAACTGACCAAGCGTTTCCACCGCCATAGAGAGCACTCAACCATGCGCTTCCATTAAAACCAATTGAAATTGATGTTGTTAGTAGCAATGTCACTAAATCATAACGTTCACCACCCCATGACGAAATAAGTGGAAGTGTATTACAATCTGTTGTTTTTACAGCGATTGGAAGGCTAGTATAATTGGAACTTGTGCAATTCGAAAAGCAATCTAAAGTACCACCGACTGGAATAGTTGTTTGAGCAGTTACATTTATCTCCGTACAATAAGGTGGACCACCGAAATAGCTCGCCTTTCGATCAAAAAAGTATCGTTGATGTATGAGAATATCCGCAGTAGAACCCGATGGTGTACTATTCAACGGCCGCCTAAAAAGAAAAGGTATGAAACTGATGATAAGGGAATAGTGGATTATACATGCCATGAAATGATACCACCACGAAAATGTGTTCCATCGATTGTATTATATCGTATGCACAATAATAACAACGCCAAATAAAAGTGCTCTACCATTTCGCTGATATAAAACTAGTATGTTAATGAAAACTCGCTTTTTCCTTCACCTGTTTTTATATGAATGAATCGGCTTATGAACTTTCTATCGAAAAAGTGCGTCGTTTAGATACATTGTCAAATATTAAATTGCCAGGTTAAGAAACAGCGAGTGAATAAGAATTTTCAATTTCATTTCTTCGCAACGAACAGAACAATGTTTTGAAAACAAACGCCCTTTTTATTTTGATTGATTGAATTTTACGCCGATTTTTTTGTACAAAATAAACATGAAAAATATTACACGTAATCTTCACCAAAGTACTCGTGCACTCGTAAGCTCTATTTACAAAGGAACAATAGTCATGATTGATGAATGTGTTGAATATAAATCTTGATGAGATCTGCAACGTTATATGTGTCACCGACGGGATGATCCGAGAGGCTGAAAGAGTTCAATAGTACTCAACAGATAATTTCTCATCTCACTAGGTACAAAAATTGTTAACCGTAAACGAAAGTTGTGTTTGTTTCCAGCGCATTTTAGACAAGTAAAAATGATAAAAACTACTTATTGAATTCGATGTCTGTGTAAGATAAGAAACAATTTATTCTATTTGATTCTCACACATGTTCAACCAGTGCTTCAGTTCAATGTCGTTGATTGGATTTACGAGACTGAAAGACATACTAAAATGCAACAAAATTTCTTCTGTCTCGACTTAGTAACAGCAAATGCTTTTAGTTTATGTAAGACATACATGTAAAAGTCGAAGAGACTATTCGAGTATTAAACTTTCAATTTGAGTTTTAAAATTCTAAATTTAGAATTCGAGTACCCGAGTTTTAAACTCTTAACTAATTGGCTATTAAACATCCACTAACTAAATGCTAATTATTAAATGATTAACTACCTATCATCTACTAGCTAACTGATTAGAAATTATTAATTAACTGATTATGTTGAGGGTGAGGGTGTGGGTGTGGGTGAGGGTGCAGTCTACAACGACACAGTCAGGGTCAATGGATACGTGGAAACTTCGAATTATAGATTTAGAGGTTGAAAGTTGAATGGTTTAAAACTCGAGTACTCAAATTCTAAATTTAGAAGTTTAAAAGTTGAACAGTCCCCAGGTCGATCATTCCGGCGACTGGATCCGTTGAAATCTGAGTCGATTCCAGCAGGTTCCTTGCCGCCGGATTCCGGCCGAAATTACACAGGAAATATCCTATCTGTTCCTGACCGTTTCCAGCTCGAAGTTTGCAGGAAACGGTCGGGAAACGACTGGAACCTACATTTGAGCTTCGGGCCGGAATCCGGCGGCAAGGAAATGGTCGGAAAACGAACCTAACCAGGCGGAACCGGCCGTACCATAATAACCTGGGTTGAGCACTCGAATTCTAAATTTAGAACTTTAAAAGTTTAAAACTCGAGTGCTCAAATTCTAAATTGAAAGATTTAGAACTCGAATGAAAGTTTTAAAACTCGAATTGAATTAACGATTTCTACACCACTCAGCACTAACGACAGTAAACGACAAAACAGGTAATCCAATCAATCATTTGTTTTATCATCATGCCATTCATGTTAACAACAGCTAGAGAGGTCGATATATTCTGAAAAACTTATATTTAGAATAGATTGGTCTTCTATATTTGTAGATATTATCCTTCATTAACTTTCATTCAAATAAATGCTGTGTACAATAAATACGATTTACATAGATTTCAACAAACACAGACAAACGAAAAAAACAAGTCATTCTCAATAGGTTCTATACCGTTAGATTTCACCGAATACATCGGGTTAACAATGCCAAAAGCTGTTGTTTATAAACTGTAGAAGGCAGAATAAAAATCAGACTGTTCAATACATATGGTAAATAAGATATAAAGTATCCAATCATAGGTAGGTAGGGATATGCATTTCTCGTTGGTCGTATGCATGTCGTATGAAATGCGATGATCACTCTCGGTACTTTAAGAAGAACTAACACAATTGGACTGATTATCAAATGTTGATGTTTCCGAATATTATCACGAAATCGAATTTTTTCACTTTGATTTGTTCGAGCTTTGAGTCTTGCCGTGAGAACAATGATCGTCATTGCCGATATATACCATTGATAATAAATGGTGTGATAAAATTAATCAAATTAATTGTCGAATCGTATGTTTGAAGAAATGTTGACGAATATGAGACAACACACCATGTTCTTCGTTCAACCTCATCGTACAATAAACGTCGATGTAATGGATCATGTACTGACATGCAGATCGTACAAAGAAAAACTAATCCGATTGCGAATTTCGCCAATTTGTAACTGGTCTTTTGCTGAAATTTCACTCCCCGTTGAACAATCAAAACATTTTCGATTGATAAACATGCATGTAACCAATCACAGGTAATCGGCAAACATTTTAATAGATATTCAATTATTATACAACTTGATAGATTAATTTGCTCAAAAATTAGTAATAAAATTTGAATAAAACAAATAATTATCGTTAAAATTGATAATAAAGATGAAATCAATAAATAAATACCCCTTCCTGTTTGTCGAATAATTAACTGACAAAATGTAACAGTAGAACATAATCCATCTATAATTCCACACATAAAAATAACACAACAGACGACGAAACCAATATGAATGATTTGTAATTGTTCAATCAACGAGGCATTTGGTTTAATATATGGTCCAAGAATAGTATTTAATGAAAATATATATCCTTTTATATTAAATTGACATAAACTTCCAAAGGTACATTGTGGACATAAACATATACTTGCAGTTGGACATCGTTCTCTATCTTGTATACATTCTCCATTATTCTCACATGGATTATCTTGATTTGTACATCGTGCAGTATTATTTGTAGTAATAAATGCAATACAATCAGTTCGATTAAATTTATTGCATAGACAAACTTGAGTATCGTCGTAAAAACACGAGATATAGTTTATACATGGACGCTGGTAAAATTTTACTCGACGAAGATAAGGTAAAGATGGGAAATCTTGATCGAAGAATTCATTTATATGAGGACATCGATTTGAATTTGTGATTTCTACTGTAGTTTGATTAAAAGGAAGGGAACTAAGTAGAACNAAATATATTCCATGGGAACGCTTTCATATCAACTTATGGAACAAACTTCGAATACATGGTTGAAATGAACCATGAATGGTCAGGATATGCACTAACGAGACCGGTTGAGTACGATGACAATTGCTCCTGTGGAATGTCATCAAGTTGTTCAACTCAAGCCGTTTTCATCGAAAGGAATCTTTCAAGAGCAATACCGGTCAATGGTATGAAAATGGGCTGTACTCCAAGCCAATCATTTCTTTCTTCGACTCTTGAGTGTTTTTATAATCAATCATGCCTCAATCTTATCCAGCACTATACTGGCTCGAACGCATCGTCAGGCCCTCTTCCTACGCAAAAAAGTCGCTTCTCCCCGAGTAACACAACAATAGCTGAACTTGTGAATGAATTATTTCTTGAAGACTGGTCAATAGATAAGAATTATTCTTTGTACTACGAACAATGTTCACCACTGGTTTGTTCTTATACCATCGTGGAAAAATTCAACATAATCTATATCATCACTCTTGTACTTGGTCTTCAAGGTGGCATAACAATAGTTCTCAAATGGTTTTGTCCAAAGATGATTCGCCTTGGATTCAAAATTTATAATCGACGAAAAAACCAAGTAACCGCTGTTGGTCCTGATACGACCGATGATATAACTATTCGACAAACGACATCGAATTCTGAAATCCAACCAACGTAGATAATCTTTTATATTTCGTTCTCGATCATCGATCTATTTTGTATTTAGGAACAGTGCTGTGACACGCAATCGATCGTTTCGAAAAATCATGTGTACAGTCATTCTTGTTATATGTGTAGCAATTGGTATTAGTTGCTTTTCGATCTATTATGCTTACAAAAGTAAGTGCAAAAACACTCCTATTTTCAATCTCAAGAGCGCATGTGGCAATTGTCACGTCCAATGCTATGTCTTTGTTTTATAGACCGTTTGACAACAACCAATGCACCGATAGATGATAATTTCAATATCACAACAACTGTTATGGCAATGTCTACAACATCGAATGTATCAGGTCAGTTTTTGAGTGATTAGTAAAACGAGTTTCATGTGAAGATAATCGAACACATTGCTTTGAACTTTGATAACATTTAATATTGTTTAATCGTTTAGAACCAGTGTGCTTGTTTAAATATGAGCAGATGCTAATTGATTCATCATGTTCATTCATAAGCTCACGTGCAACTGTTGTTACAGATATCAATGGTGACAATCACATCGATTTGATATTTTCTTGTGGTAGAATTATAGCTGAAATGGTGCATGTCTTACTCGGCAATGGTAAAAGTTCTTTTCGACAAGTATTCACGTTTCCGCCGAGCAATTTTTTTTACGAGATAAGTTGGATTCGCGTTGCCGATTTAAACAACGATCATCGAGCTGATCTAGTTTTGGCTCATTGCAAGTACTCCAAAATAAACATCGCTATACTGTTTGGCAATGGGAATGGTACGTTTCAAATGGACACTGGACGCTCTTTGCTTTTAACTAGTGTTAAAGAACATGTCAGCATAATAGATATGAATAATGACACTAAGCTAGACCTCATTGCTATAGGTGAATCCTCTAATCGAATCAATGTATATTATGGCAATGGGAATGGAACGTTTTCATCACCATCAGTCTTGTTGATTGGGATCAATAGTGTTGCCAGCCAATTAGCTGTTGCTGATTTGGATAATGACAATTATTTAGATCTCATTGTGATGGACACAGCTACTTTTAGTATACATGTGTTTTTTGGGAATAAGGATGGAAGTTTTCAACTACATAAACGGTTATTCGTCTCCACAACCACTTATAAAACCACAATGATAGTCGCTGATTTTGATGGCGATCTTCAATCCGACATTATTTTAGCTCAGAGCCACATAGATACTGTTTTAGTGACCTATCGATATAATAATGGTACCTTTCATGATAAGAAGCAAATTGTTCTGAAATCTGAATTTCCATTTGACTCAGTGGCCTTAGGTGATTTAAACCATGATAAACTTTTAGACATCGTTGTCACTAAGGATGCTCGTTATGAGATCTATGGCTTTCTTCAAGATCGAAACGGTAATTTTCAAGTTCAAACTATCTATTTAGGTGAAACATATGGTGAAGACCCCTGGAGTGATGTGAAAGATTTTAACAATGACAACTGTCAAGATATAATCAGTGCATCGACTGAATTTGAAAAGAGAAGCATATTTTTGAATACGTGTGAATGTCCTTGAGAAATGAAACTATCTGCAACAAAAACTCTCTTGCTCTAATTTGTCTTTTTCTTTTTTATTGTTCGCTTGCTTCTATGTCCGCAATTCAATGGTTGTTTCAGAACGAAATTGAAATAAAGATAATTTCTAGGGGGAGTCGGAGTTAATGAATCATTTCCAATAATGACTAACAGCTCAGAATACGCGTTTGGCTGCTAATTCCACAATAGCATTCATAAACGCATCAAACATATGTTTATAATATCGCGATAATTTTCTTAGTCAAAACTCGGTTTCGTCTCATTTTACATACATAGAAAAAAGTCGTTAATGTAATCAACACTTCTATGGGAAACAATAGTTCTGAATAGTGAGAGGGACCTCTAGAATAATATATTTAGGCAATTGCTGAGATGGAAATGCTCTTCGTTATTGCCACAACTATATTATCTATTTCATTTGGCCTGAACGCAATAAAACACGCAGCTATCAACTAGTCAACGATACAACTAACCATTATACAACTTCATATTGTATCAAACCAGGTTCGTGTACTATTATAGAAATAATGAATAGAATACAATTCATTTTTTATCTTGTTTTAGTGAACTATTCACTTGAAAGTATCGATAAGACTGTTGATCCATGTAAAAACGTCTACAGGTTTGCTTGTCGTAAATGATATGAGTTACGATTCGATCTCCTCTCAATATCATAAATCAATGAAACAACTGAACTTAATTCCTCATGTGTTAATGAAAGTAATATTGGGCGCGATGCTATCAATGGAATACTTTCTTTGATTCAGAATGAACTTGGCGTTGGACTAATTCTGTAATAATCAACATGAAATGAATCAGCATATAATCTGATGAACGTATCGTAAGTTACCCTGAGTCAATACGATGGATTTACATTATTCCACATATCAACATAGATCGATCAGAAGAATTCGCCTAATCCTCCTATTATTATGTCCATAGAGTCTATGCATATGTATATTTTAGAAGGATCAAGGTAATTTAGGTTTCGAAGATCCATTGGTCAGGTATTGACTTATTGTTTCTGACGGACATGTGATCACAAAAATTCATTTTAGTCTTTCTGGAGCAAAGTTCAACAGTCTACAAAGATTAACCGCTTACGATTCGCATATTTTTACTTGCAAAAACTGCTGATAGACGTATAGGCCGCGACAGAACTGGTTGAGCCGAGTCGAATGAAAGTGTATTCACTAGTGACACACGCTGAATGACGAATTGGTTCGCAAAATACTACCAAAATAGTTGTAACTTATGCTCAAAAACACTAGTTCTACGGAAATAAGCAAATTAACTTCCGTATATTCGAATAGAATACGTCAAGCTGCATCAAATGATGTGGGTTTGGAACGTAGCACATGCGAAGGAACGAATTTGTTTTTTGAAAAGTTCAAAAACGTCACTAACTTGACTTACATAAAATAAATCTGATAATTATCATTCGGCCCCATTAATAATTAACGATAGACATGTTTACAACTGTTTCATAAACGTCAAAAAGATCTCTTTTTCTGTTACAACTGACAATGATATATAATCTTTCTACGTTTCTGAAGGACTACAACAAACAGAAAAGAAGGTTTATTATACGCCGCAAATCGATATATTCTTGTCTTTTACAACATAGTTCTTCCTACTTTTCACGTTGTAAGATGATGGTAAATTTTGTTTCAACCCGAGAGGTACTCTGACTTTTGAGCAGTAAGGTTGAGTGATATAATCTTGTTAGGATGAGTAAAGTTAAAAAATCTGATCACGTTTCGAAGATGAATTGACTCAAATGATGATACCTTTCGAGATAACGTACAGATTGCGGTTTCTCAGAGAGATTTCGCGAAATAAACGATGGAGATTCTATGATACCGCGGTATTTACTTTAAAAAAAATTAACATCATCGGTGTAGTTTGTGAAAGTGAAGTTAACGATAAAGATAAGAAAATATTGTAAATGAAAACACAAAAATAACGATGAGCCATAGTCTCACCTTTACCAGTAAACTATTTTCATTTCACTATCTTAACTCTTTTTTTTTCGGTAAACAGAAACACTCAGATATGAATAAAATCGAGTTATAGTATGAGAATTCCATTGCAAGTAATTACATTTATTTCTATATAACTACTTAAGAAATAGAATTTTCAAAATGGATGAAAATATCAAAGAATAAATGAAGAATCGTCTGTGAGATTTTGAACAAGAATTACACGTATATGTCACTTGATAACTATTAACACACTTTGTATATTGCGAACAAATTCCAGAACACGTTACGCAACCGCCACTGGTGTAAAGATCATAATCGATAGAGGACACACTTCCATAACATTTACAGTGACACACTGTCGCGCCACTCGTGTAAGTCGTACATTGTCCCAATGTTTGCCCAACGGCTGTCGATAATGGACATACTGATGGATATCGGATTTGACAAGCGTATGTACAGGCGTAGGTAGAACAAAGGGTAGCTGACGTATTTCCTACATAGATATACGGTGAACAAGTCGTAGTCGAATTACAGCAATAACACGAGCAGGGATTGCCGAGATAGGGTCCTATTGTGGTTGTAGTTGTCGATGCTGTGGCTAATCCCAGACATGTACCTATTGTTTGTCCATACTGGTTTGAAATACATATAAGTGGATAGGCTGAAGTACATGCTACACTACATGATCCACTTGAACATGAATAAGCCGACGTATACCCAACAAGCAACGTCGAACATGTTGAGCTTCCTGTGTTACAGCAATCGCACCGGCAGGAATAGGATCCATTTACTGGAGTCGCTATTACCGCACTCAAACATTGTCCGCTTGATAGTCCGTAGGGATAATCTGCTGAACATAGAGAATATTGACTACGACATGTTGAACGACAACTATCAGCTGTACAATACGGAGCGTAAACATATCCAATTGAAGCCACTTGACAGTTCTGACCGAGACAACATGAACACGAGCATGGATACTGCGCCGACACAGAATTGATGGCAAAACTCAGGATTAAAATCAAAGAATCGATCATCGTCGAATAATTCATGTGATTGAACAATGATATAAACGATGTGAGTGTAATTCATATAACCGAAGTTTACAATTTTTCTGAGCGTAGACTGAAAGAAAAAGAGTAATATGATTAAGTCAAGATTTGTGCAAATATGTTTCTGTTTTGACCAAATTCATCATAGTAATAAAACGATTCGACTAGGTAGGAAGTTGTTTAGTTTGTAATACGAGCACATAGAACATGTCTATGTTTTATTTCGCCATTAGGGTGAGAGAGTAATAGGAGAGAAGTGATTCAATGACAAAGAGACGCGAAGGAATGAAAAAGAAATCAAAATCAAACGGGACTGAGGCCTACGCTGGCATTGTAAACAGAAGAGAAAAGAACAAAAATTGTCATCAGTCATGTAAAGAAAAGAAATCAACGAGAAAAAGGACATTCGACAGAGAATGACGACAGATGGTACTCTTGGTATTGAATACAGATCGAAAGGCCAAAAAAAATGTTTTGTCAATCTGATCTTTTGCTTATAGTAAAAAAAGAGATTTGTCGATGTGATAGCATTTCAAGATGATGATTAAAAAAACAATATCAGTAGCATGATGTATTTATTCCATTTCTTTATCAAAGCTATACTCCAATGAGCAAACAAAGAAGTAAACAAGTCAAGTGATGAGTTTATCTTCTTTCCAAATACCTTTTTGAATTTTACCATCCGCATACACCATTTTTCCTTTGCCGTCTTTTTTACCATTCTTGAAATTACCTTGAAACAAATCACCATTGGCATATTTGTAAACTCCACGTCCATGGAACTTATTGTTGAGAAAAACTCCCGCATACACGTCGCCATTCGCCATAGAGAGAACACCATATCCAATGACTTGACCATTGAAAAACCTACCCTCATATCTCGTACCTGTTTTCGATGTCAGTACACCTTTTCCATTGAACTTTCCGTTTTCAAATGGTCCAACATACTTCTTTCCATCGGTAAAATAATAAGTGCCTTGACCACGTTTTTCCCCATTTTCAAAGTGACCTTCGTACCGCGCACCATTTTTCCATGTCATCACGCCCTCTCCATGAAATTCCCCATCTTTGAACTGACCAAAATATTTAGTTCCATCAGCAAAATAATAAATACCATGTCCACTTCTTTTGCCGTTTCGGAAGTGACCTTCGTATCGCTCACCATTAGTCCAAGTCATCACACCTGTCCCATCCAATTTGCCATTTTTGAACTGGCCATAATATTTAGTTCCGTCAGGAAACGTATAAGTGACATTTTTGTTCACTTTTTTATTCTTTTCGCGAAGATTGTTGTTATAATGATAAACATCTAATACAAAATCAAACGAGTCATGTTGCCGTAATTCTGACTGCACTATTCTTCTTATACTTACGTATAACTTCGATTGTGCTATTTTTTCTTGTAGTGGCTATCGCTTTGGTCTTATTTTTATTGGGAGAGCTAAAAATTCTACATTCCACATGTTCAAGCGCGACAAACAGGATGCAAAATATGATCTACATTCAAAGATATGTTCACACAAACATACAGAATAATATCGGTAATTTTATTTCTACGAACCAAGTGTTTCGTTGTCTGCATGATAGTTGTAAATGAATATCTGTTTCATGTTCGTTCATCTATTTATATACCCATGTGCGGAGTCATAGACTGTTTATCGCATCTTGCATATATGTGTGAAAAACAACTGGAATATCGTTTTCTCTCAACGCTCTATCCACTTGAAGATATGAAATTAGTCTATGCGGAAAATGCATTTTGCTTCATCATTTTTATGACACTTATAGTTCACACCTTCGTTAATTGCATGTCGTATAGATCTACCTACAGACAAATGCCGTCAAGAGAGTACAATCATCAAGCTTCTTTCGAAATTCATCGTTCTTAATAAATATGATCGTTAAAGCTGCATGTAAGTATTTCTTTTGTGAGAAAAAAAACTACCAAACAAGATTTCAGTGATATAGGAGAAACATTGATAATCAAAGGGAAATTTCACGCATTCAAGATTATTATGATTAGGAAGCAAAATAAAACGTAGGGGCAATGTCAAATTATTGTTTAAGATGCATGAAAACATCTTTCAGTTAGCGAAGAATGCGTTTCATTCGTTGTTTGTGTCGGTCTTTTGCTTGGGTATTGGCTGGATTCAACACATTTGCGATTTTAGTCAACATGGCATATAGTATCACAGTGTGTATAGGCATTAATGTAACTAAGAACACAGCGGTCATAGTAGCGACAGTTTGTTTGCAAGCATCTTCCTATTCGATCGATTGATGTGTTTAGTCATATTCGAAAATGGATAAGTAACTTACGAGATCTTTGGGGTACATTACGGCAACTGTAGATTCAGTTGTTGCGCCTGATGCCGTTGGACCTGCTGATGTTGAAGCTAAAAAAGAGAAGAAAAATTCAAATTGTATGAATAATGAAAAATTCCTGCTCACCAGCTGTAGTTGCAGGCGAATTAGTTGTAGTTGTTCCATTAGTTGTAATAGGTGTTGTTGTTGTTACAACAATACCAGTTGTTGTCAACTAGTTATATCAATAGATAAACGAATGTGAGATATTAATGATATACAGATGAACTTACAAGAGTATTGATACTGGTTGTTGATGTTGGTTTTGTTGTCACTGTTGCAGTTGTGAACGGTGTCGTCGTCGTTGTGGTCGTGCTGGAAACTGCCGGATTCCAAATATTGAATACCCAAAACGTCGGATCTGTGATCGGTGCTGACTCCGCATCTTTCCAAGTCAAACTCATTCTACTAACTTCATTCCCAGGTAAAATAAAATAACTTACGACAAAACACACTTCCACTTGCAAAACCACTATCCATTGTTACATAGTAGAACGCACCGGGTGTCCACGTAAAATTTGTAACAATAACAATGGTATGTCCCGTATAGACCACATTCGGCGAATATCCAGCGTCGTAACATAGGACTGACGCGTTTGATGAAGCATTATGAAAACAGACGTTTGTATTGTTGCGAGTTGGACGACCAACTAAACCTGTTGCTAAAATAAAATCATCATAAAAGATTAACGCATAAAACTGAAACAAATAGACTAACCTTCAATTGAAAACATTGATTGATTTGCAAAGACAGTACCAACCGGACTTGCAGATCCTTGGACAACTGTTGGACGAATTATATCCGGTGATGTATAATCAACTAAATAGGTTATACACCAGGGATCTGATTGTAAACTACTATTGTCGACAGCACCCGCACAGAAACCTTGAGGACCAGCCTGTGATGCTTGCGGTGTCCATGTCAACACCATTACCCATGTATCTAAAATATAGTTTCAAATTTTAGATTCCAAAGCTTTTCCATTCTTATTGTTTAGGGCTGATTACGTACTAGCGCTTGGGTTAGTAATGGCACTATGCTGCATTCCAAGTGGCGAACTAGTGACGAAATCAACAATAGCTTGGCCGGGACAGTATGTTTGAACAATTACTGTTTCATTCAACTGAACACCTGAAATAGAAATTCAAACGATTAGAGCAAAAACGAGAAAATCTTCATTAGCGATATTTACCAATTGGAACACCAATACAGGCTATAGAATAAAATAAATCAAAAGAAATAATAGAATTATTGAGTATTTTAGCTTAGTTCATACCTCGGTTTGGTCGCACACCAATGATTTGAGGTCGTTGTGGACATGCAGTACTAGAAGGTGTATATCCATAGAATAAGAATACAATTGGAACAGAACTCATTGGATTTGTAGCAGCAGAGTTATAGTAATCTTCGATTTGAATAGAACATGCATAGTATAAATTAGCAGTTGGCAGTGTGAACGATACTGTACAATTGGATCCGGTTAATACATATCCGGATGGCAATGCACTACAAACACCTGCACATTCATCGACTTGATTGTAGTTGCTTCCCGAGTTTGAATTAGACCAACGACAACTCAATATGTCAGTTCCGTCATTGTCGGCCATTTGTATGACATGAGTAATTCGCGTGTTTATTGGATAAAACACCACCGGTAACGTCGTTGTCACTGGACTACTATTGATAAAACCATCAGGTCTCAGACCTAAATTCAATCGATCTACAACTGACCAAGCGTTCCCCCCGCCATAGAGAGCACTCAACCATGCGCTTCCATTAAAACCAATTGAAATTGACGTTGTTAGTAGCAATGTCACTAAATCATAACGTTCACCACCCCATGACGAAATAAGTGGAAGCGTATTACAATCTGTTGTTTTCACAGCAATTGGAAGGCTACTATAATTGGAACTTGAGCAATTCGAAAAGCAATCTAAAGTGCCACTGACTGGAATAGTTGTTTGAGCAGTAACATTTATCTCCGTACAATAAGGTGGACCACGGAAATAGGTCGCTTTTCGATCAAAAAAGTATCGTTGATGTATGAGAATATCCGCAGTAGAACCCGATGGTGTACTATTCAACGGCCGCCTAAAAAGAAAAGATATGAGACTGATGATAAGGTAATGATGGATTATACATGCCATGAAATGATACCACCACGAAAATGTGATCCATCAATTGTATGATATGGTATGCACAATAGTAACAACGCCAAATAAAAGTGCCCTACCATTTCGCTGATATAGAATTAATATGTGAATGAAAACTCGTTTTTTCCTTCGTCTGATTTTATATGAATGAATCGACTTATGAACTTTCTATCGATAAAGTGTGTCGTTTAGATACATTGCCAAACATTAAAACTGTCAGGCTACGAAACAAGGAGTGAACGAGAATTTTCAATCTCATTTCTTCGCAACGAACAGGAGAATGTTTTGAAAACAAACAACCTTTTTGTTTTGACTGATTGAATTTTACGCAGATTTTTTGCGCAAAATAAACATAAAAAAATAGTACAAGTAATCTTCACCGAAGTACCCGTGCACCCGTAAATTCTATTTACACAGAAACAATAGTCATGATTGATGAATGCGTTGAATATAAACCTTGATGAGATCTGCAACGTTATTGTGTCACCGACGGGATGATCCGAGAATCCGAAAGAGTTCAATAGTACTCAACAAATAATTCCTCATCTCATTAGGTACAAAAATTGTTAACCGCAAACGAAAGTTGTGTTTGTTTTTAGCGAAATTTAGACAAGTAAAAGTGATCAAATTACTTATTGAATTCGATGTTTGTGTAAGATAAGAAACAATGTATTCTATTGTTCAACCAGTGCTTCATTTTGGTCTCGTTGATTGGATTTACGAGACTGAAATTCATACTAAAATTCAACGCAATTTCTTTTCCCTTCATCTTAGTAACAGAAAATGTTTCTAGTTTATGTTAGAGAGTTGTCTATGCTTAATAGAAACGTGAAAAATTTTTCATTCGTTCTGTTTCGATCTCTCGTTAAAGTGTATTACAATTCTTTTTATTTTAAAACAAAATATAAATCTTGAGGGTGAGGGTGGGTGCATGCTGGTGAAAATCCGAATTGGTTAGATAGGCGAATAGAATTAGTTTTAAAATATCAAAAATCCAGATTTTCTCTCTTTTCACGAGAAAGAGATGCAGTTGCGTCTATCTCTCTTTCATTCACTTCAAGCACTTAACGGTAGTAAATGACAAAACAGGTAATCCAATCGATCATTTGTTTTATCATCATACCATTTATGTTAACAACAGAGTGGTCGATATATTCTGCAAAACTTATATTTAGAATAGATTGGTCTTCTATATTTGTAGATACTATCCTTCATTAACTTTCATTCAAATAAATACTGTTTACATAGATTTCAACAAATAGGATGATACAATGAGATGTAATTATATGTTGCATGTATATCATGGACAAACTTCGATGCTGAAACTACATCTGCCAATATGAGATTATTTTAAGCTTTGCCAGCTGAGCACGCTGTTACATTAAGCACAGACAAACGAAAAAACAAGTCATTCTCAATAGGTTCTATACCGTTAGATTTCACCGAATACATCGGGTTAACAATGCCAAAAGCTGTTGTTTATAAACTGTAGACGGCAAAATAAAAATCAGACTGTTCAATACGTATGGTAAATAAGATATAAAGTATCCAATCATAGGTAGATAGGGATATGCATTTCTCGTTGGTCGTATGCATGTCGTATGAAATGCGATGATCACTCTCGGTACTTTAAGAAGAACTAACACAATTGGACTGATTATCAAATGTTGATGTTTCCGAATATTATCACGAAATCGAATTTTTTCACTTTGATTTGTTCGAGCTTTGANGGGATATGCATTTCTCGTTGGTCGTATGCATGTCGTATGAAATGCGATGATCACTCTCGGTACTTTAAGAAGAACTAACACAATTGGACTGATTATCAAATGTTGATGTTTCCGAATATTATCACGAAATCGAATTTTTTCACTTTGATTTGTTCGAGCTTTGATTCTTGCTGTGAGAACAATGATCGTCATTGCCGATATACCATTGATAATAAATGGTGCGATAAAATTAATCAAATTAATTGTCGAATCGTATGTTTGAAGAAATGTTGATGAATATGAGACAACACACCATGTTCTTCGTTCAAACTCATCGTACAATAAACGTCGATGTAATGGATCATGTACCGACATGCAGATCGCACAAAGAAAAACTAATCCGATTAGGAATTTCGCTAATTTGTAACTGGTCTTTTGCTGAAATTTCACTCCCCGTTGAACAATCGAAACATTTTCGATTGATAAACATGCATATAACCAATCACAGGTAATCGGCAAACATTTTAATAGATATTCAATAATTATACAACTTGATAGATTAATTTGTTCAAAAATTAGTAATAAAATTTGAATAAAACAAATAATTATCGTTAAAATTGATAATAAAGATGAACTCAATAAATAAATACCTCTTCCTGTTTGTCGAATAATTAACTGAGAAAATGTAACAGTAGAACCTAATCCATCTATAATTCCACACATGAAAATAACACAACAGACGACGAAACTAATATGAATGATTTGTAATTGTTCAATCAACGAGGCATTTGGTTTAATATACGGTCCAAGAATAGTATTCAATGAAAATATATATCCCTTTATACTAAATTGACATAAACTCCCGAAGGTGCACTGTGGACACAAACATATACTTGTAGTTGGACATCGTTCTCTATCTTGTACGCATTCTCCATTATTCTGACATGGATTATCTTGATTTGGACATCTTGCAGTATTATTTTTAGTAATAAAAGCAATACAATCAGTTCGATTAAATTTATTGCATAGACAAACTTGAGTATCGTCGTAAAAACACGAGATATAGTTTATACATGGACGCTGGTAAAATTTTACTCGACGAAGATAAGGTAAAGATGGGAAATCTTGATTGAAGAATTCATTTATATGAGGACATCGATTTGAATTTGTGATTTCTACTGTAGTTTGATTAAAAGGAAGGGAACTAAGCAGAACAAGATGTAATGGAAGTGATTTTTTGTTATCTGCAATAAATTGAATAAAAACGATCGATGGGAGTTGGTTTGTTGGGTGAAATAGTTCGGTTTCGCTTTCATGAAAACGAATTTGTTTGAAATACGAACGAACTTGATGTTCGGAATGATCAAGTAATGAAATAAAATGAACGAGAATCGACGGTGGAATAGCAATCGAAGATGAAAATCTAACTTTCAAATGAGACGAAATGTGTTCACAATTTCGACCAAAATATCCCTCATCACAAACACAATACGCATCAGTTGTTCGAATATCTATTGCAACACAAATACCATGATTTCTACAAGGATTATCCTGACATGGATTATAATCAAGATAACATCGTGAACCAATTTTGTTTAAAGGACAAATACATATTCCCGGAATAACACAAAGTGAATCCGGAGAGCAATCACATTCTTGCGGATGTTTTACATTACATAAAGAACCTGACCAACCTGGTTTACAATGACAAAATGAATATTCAGGGTTGTTTAAATATAATTCACATGAACCATGTAAACATGGTAAAGTCTGACAGTTTGTTCTGGTATTTTTAAGAATTTCTTCGGATAAAATTATCTGCGAAGCAATACGATTCACATAAAGAAATTCGAATTTAATTGGAAAAAACCATGCACCCCGATATTCGATTGAAGAATTTGCTAAACGATAGATTTGAATGTGTATATGATGTTTTATGTTTTCTCTCCGTTCTATTGGATATAATAAATCAATAATATACTTCGGTAAGCATTGTACATATGGTGCATAAATAATTTCTTCAGCATGAAATACAATCGAACCGTTGGATGTTTGAATAAGGAATATAAAAAACTTATAGACATTTGTTCGCTCAAGTAATGTTGGAATGCTAATTTCAAGAATAAGACTTAATCTTTTTCGTTGATATTCACATCGATTTCCATAATAAGCGGGTGGACAAAAACATTGAAAACTGTCTGGATCTACAGTCGATTGTATAGGTACACCCCGATTACAATACCAGCCAAGAAAAGTATACGATTTACGAGTAGATCGTTGAGAAACTGGTTTTAAAAGTGAGAGAACTGGTAATGTAAATGGAGAGATTAATGGTTGATCTATTAAATCACATAACCACTCATCTTCATAGTATTTACATCGCGATTGACCATTGCAACGTTCGTTTTGAGGTACGTTGAATTCTATGCACGGAAAATTCGTTCTGTAGCAGGAACTTTTCCAAGGACACAATAGAAGACTTTCGTCATCTTCTAAAGGACAATCTGAACGACAATCACAAATTTGATACGGAGTAATACATTTTGAATCGTTTAAACCTACAATAAACAAAACAAAGAACTTCTTTTCTTCTTTCTGGATACAATTTTAAATTTACATCTGTAACGTCGTTCGAATTCGTACGGATATTTGTTTCGACAATATTCACGTTCATCACTTGCTCCTAAACAATCGATCTTGCCATCGCCAATAACTTCCACGGAGGCGCAGACACTATTACCATCCGGTTGAATACAAAAGAATTCTTCTCCACTAAAACCACATATTTCTGCTGATAAAGTATTTCCACAAGTGTGTTCATCACTTCCATCACGACAGTTCCATTGACCATTACAAGCGGTATATCGTGAGACGCAAGAATATTCATCACAATCTGTTTCATCTGTATCTTGATCTTGGATAGTCGGCTGAATACGTTCTATTCCATCACATATTTCTCCAAAAGGAATTATTTGATTAACTTCCTTACGGCCAGCTAGAATATCACAAGATTCAATGGAAGTGTTTGTACATAATATAGTAAAAGATTCATCTGATCCATCAATACAATGTCTTTCACTATCAATGAGAAAACGGCGAGGTATACATCGTTTTTCTAATTTACATTGGTAACGATGAGGAAGAGCAAGATCACATGTGTCATTATAATTTTCATCCTTGCCGTTATAACAATCGATCACATGATCTTGTAATCGATGTTGTGAGACGCATTTCGATGAATTCGAACAATGGAATAGGGATGAATGTGGACAGGTTGAATCTTTCGTAAGCGCCAATCCTGCAAAGAAATATGATTTGATTTCAAAAGTAAGTGCTTTATTTTCTCTACTTACTTGGTAACGAACATCCGCCAAAAGTGGTATGTAATACTTTAAAAATAATTTTCCAATCGTCATAGCGTTCGTTTTGATGAAATGCTCCAAATTGATTAATATATGAACATGTTCGATTATAGATTATATCTGTTACTCGATATTGTGAACATCGTATGGAATCAAAACAAATGAATGCAGGAACAAAGTTTGCATACCATGGATGTGTTCTATTCAATGCATAAAGAAAATAGACATGATTATCATAGATAGGTTTCAATGGAAACATTATTAACGATTGATTGACACATTTCAGTTTGACTTGTGCATTACAAGTATACTTCGAACTACATAACAATTGACATTCAGATTTCGCCATAGGAAAGATAAAAGCGCATCTTAAATAATTTAAACATTCATTTGTCGGTTGAAAAANACATCTAAACGAGACGGAATGTGTTCACAATTTCGACCAAAATATCCCTCATCACAAACACAATACGCATCAGTTATTCGAATATCTGTTGCAACACAAATACCATGATTTCTACAAGGATTATCCTGACATGGATTATAATCAAGATAACATCGTGAACCAATTTTGTTTAAAGGACAAATACATATTCCCGGAATAACACAAAGTGAATCTGGAGAGCAATCACATTCTTGCGGATGTTTTACATTACATAAAGAACCTGACCAACCTGGTTTACAATGACAAAATGAATATCCAGGGTTGTTTAAATATAATTCACATGAACCATGTAAACATGGCAAAGTTTGACAGTTTGTTCTGGTATTTTTAAGAATTTCTTCGGATAAAATTATCTGCGAAGCAATACGATTCACATAAAGAAATTCGAATTTAATTGGAAAAAACCATGCACCTCGATATTCGATTGAAGAATTTGCTAAACGATAGATTTGAATGCGTATATGATGTTTTATGTTTTCTCTCCGTTCTATTGGATATAATAAATCAATAGTATACTTCGGTAAGCATTGTACATATGGTGCATAAATAATTTCTTCAGCATGAAATACAATCGAACCGTTGGATGTTTGAATAAGGAATATAAAAAACTTATAGACATTTGTTCGTTCAAGTAATGTTGGAATGTTAATTTCAAGAATAAGACTTAATCGTTTTCGTTGATATTCACATCGATTTCCATAATAAGCGGGTGGACAAAAACATTGAAAACTGTTTGGATCTGCAGTCGATTGAATAGGTACACCTCGATTACAATACCAACCAAGAAAAGTGTACGATTTACGAGTAGATCGTTGAGAAACTGGTTTAAAAAGTGAGAGAACTGGTAATGTAAATGGAGAGATTAATGGTTGATCTATTAAATCACATAACCACTCATCTTCATAGTATTTACATCGCGTTTGACCATCGCAACGTTGGTTTTGAGGTATGTTGAATTCTAAGCACGGAAAATTCGTTCTGTCGCAGGAACTTTTCCAAGGACACAATAGAAGACTTTCGTCATCTCCTAAAAGACAATCTGAACGACAATCACAAATTTGATACGGACTGATACATTTTGAATCGTTTAAACCTACAATAAACAAAACAAAGAACTTCTTTTCTTCTTTCTGGATGCAATTTTAAATTTACATCTGTAACGTCGTTCGAATTCGTACGGATATTTGTTTCGACAATATTCACGTTCATCACTCGCTCCTAAACAATCGATCTTACCATCGTCAATAACTTCCACCGAGGCGCAGAAACTATTACCATCCGGTTGAATACAAAAGAATTCTTCTCCATTAAAACCACATATTTCTGCTGATAGAGTATTTTCACAAGTGTGTTCATCACTTCCATCACGACAATTCCATTGACCATTACAAGCGGTATATCGTGAGACGCAAGAATATTCATCACAGTCTGTTTCATCTGTATCTTGATCTTGAATAGTCGGCTGAATACGTTCTATTCCATCACATATTTCTCCAAAAGGAATTATTTCATTAACTTCCTTACGGCCAGCTAGAATATCACAAGATTCAATGGAAGTGTTTGTACATAATATAGTAAAAGATTCGTCAGATCCATCAATACAATGTCTTTCACTATCGATGAGAAAACGGCGAGGTATACATCGTTTTTCTAATTTACATTGGAAACGATGAGGAAGAGCAAGATCACATGTATCATTATAATTTTCATCCGTGCCGTTATAACAATCGATCACATGATCTTGTAATCGATGTTGTGAGATGCATTTTGATGAATTCGAACAATGGAATAGGGATGAATGTGGACAGGTCGAATCTTTCGTAAGCGCCAATCCTGCAAAAAAATATGATTTGATTTCAAAAGTAAGTGTTTTATTTCTCTACTTACTTGGCAACGAACATCCGCCAAAAGTAGTATGTAATAATTTAAAAATAATTTTCCAATCGCCATAGTGTTCGATTTGATGAAATGCTCCAAATTGATTAATATATGAACATGTTCGATTGTAGATTATATGTGTTACTCGATATTGTAAACATCGTATGGAATCAAAACAAATGAATGTAGGAACAAAGTTTGCATACCATGAATGTGTTCTATTCAATGCATAAAGAAAATAGACATGATTATCATAGATAGGTTTCAATGGAAACATTATTAACGATTGATTAACACATTTCAGTTTGACTTGTGCATTACAAGTATACTTCGAACTACATAACAATTGACATTCAGATTTCGCCATAGGAAAGATAAAAGCGCATCTTAAATAATTTAAACATTCATTTGTCGGTTGAAAAAGTTGCCTCTTATAAAGTACATCTCGGCCATTAGTACACCCAAAAGGAGGTCTACGCATCAAATGGGATGATGGATCTGCACGTGCGATTTCNACACATTTCAGTTTGACTTGTGCATTACAAGTATACTTCGAACTACATAACAATTGACATTCAGATTTCGCCATAGGAAAGATAAAAGCGCATCTTAAATAATTTAAACATTCATTTGTCGGTTGAAAAAGTTGCCTCTTATAAAGTACATCTCGGCCATTAGTACACCCAAAAGGAGGTCTACGCATCAAATGGGATGATGGATCTGCACGTGCGATTTCTATACATCCACCATCACCACAACTGAATGGTCTTGATGAACTTATTGTCACTTGTAGGAGTTTATATGGATTACATGTCGTATCCTCACAATACCAAGAAACGTCATTGTAACATTGCCGATCATAAAATACTATTTCATCACTTTTATCTAAACAATCTGCAATGAGATCATAGAAAAAATTCTTTGAAATACATAAACCGTTTGAACATCGATATTCAGTTAAAGGATCACATTCATTCATTTCAAGTTCAAAACAAAATTCTTCATCTTTGCCATTCAGACAATCGACATAGCCTATGTACAAAGAAATCAATAGATGGATATAGCATTATTGATGTTCAATATCTAACGTACCATTGCATATTTCACGCCAATCTAGACAGAGATTACGTCCGTCACAATGAATACCTTCTATACAAGTTCCATTTGTCTGTTCTAATACATCCCACACTTCCGAATTCGTTCTCCATTCATATAATAAAGATATCATAGTGGCCATAGATATATCTGCAGGAAACGTAAATTGACATTTGGTACCAAATAATGGAGGCATACATATATAATAGAGATTTTCATCTGAATCATTCGTATTCATGTTTAATTGACGTCTTTGTCGATAGATTTCATAATCTTCTATCATATCTATTGGAGCATGATCGATCAATAAAGTTTCACTTGTGATATTCAATTTGTACAAAAGTGTGAACGTTACCCTATCTAATACAGAAGACGGAAACACGGAAACGTCCGGCGAACGAACACAATACGGTACAAGTGTATACACGCGGCCGAATGTTGTCATAAAATAATACAAACAGTTTGTTTCGAAGTCGAACTGTTCATTCCTCGTTTTGTAAAGTAATTCGGGATAATATGATACACCATGACAGATTTGTATGAAGATGAGAAGCGCAGAATATACATATATCGTGTTCTCATACTTCATTCGTTGTAATTCTGTGTTAACCAGTGTGTCAAAATAGACAATGACAGGATTTTCTGCTTCATTAAAATTATGATTGAGCAAATACATTGACATGCCAGATGGTTCATTATTGTCAAGGCGTGACATGATTGTGTTGATAAAATCGAGGAATGTTGTAAATAGAAGTTGATTTTACAGAACATTTGTTCTCTTATTTCTTTATCGAATTTGTTGAGTAGCTTAGAATGATGTTCAATTCAAATCGGTTAGAAAACGAGAAATTAAAGCAAATGATTTACATGATGATGTTCTTATAACAAAGTCATTTTACATTGGATACATCTGCAAACTACACAACCACTAAGCAAAGTTCTAAAAAAATGATCACCTATTCATTTATGAATTTCTTTGGGANTACAGAACATTTGTTCTCTTATTTCTTTATCGAATTTGTTGAGTAGCTTAGAATGATGTTCAATTCAAATCGGTTAGAAAACGAGAAATTAAAGCAAATGATTTACATGATGATGTTCTTATAACAAAGTCATTTTACATTGGATACATCTGCAAACTACACAACCACTAAGCAAAGTTCTAAAAAAATGATCACCTATTCATTTATGAATTTCTTTGGGATCTGCATCTACATCTGATTTTATTCGTATTTATTGTTATCGCTCGGTCTTTTTCAGATGATACAGAAAACTATGAGTTGTGGGAATAATTTTAGTGAAGAAAGGGGTTGAAACTGCCAAATTTTTGAACACATGCACGACAGATACAACCGCCTTCGCAGTGGTGAAGTGCTATATTGCTGAAATCAGTACCTTTCTGACAGTTCGCGCAAGTGAACGGACTACTCGTTTGAGAATATTGTCCAAATGAACAAGACAGGATACGATGTTGCTTTTTCAGTGCTTCGCCGCACAATGATACCTTCTTATTTTGACGCAGTTTATGTTCGTTTTGATATGGTAATTCTGCCGAAGAATGGCTACCGAAAATTCTTGCAGCGTTTTGTTGTATTCGACATTCACCAACTGAACAAGTACATCGATCACTCATTGGCTTTCCTTTGTTAAACAGTGCAACAAGGAATTGAGTGTGTGCGTGATTGCGCTGTTTTTCTTGTTCAAGTTGCTGTCGAAGTGTTTGTAATTCATTAATTAACGGTTCGTAAACGTTCTTCAGAGATTGATAAACATCGGCAATAACTGGACGAATCTTTTGGAAAGGACATTCTCGGAGATGATTTGCCAGTGTACTGCGGGCTCCTTTCCATGTACATTTGATGTCAGATGCAGGACAAGGAACTATCTGTTGAGGACATTGTTCTTCGTGTTGATTGATGTTACCACGTTGTATGTTTGTTCGGTCGCATCGTTTACAGCGCATTTGAAGTCTATGCAGTTGATTAAGTACAATACGAGTGGAAATTTGCTGAAGTCCTGTTCGGTATAGTCTAATGCGACAAATTGGACATGTCGGCTGACGATCGATCCATTGTTCAATACAAAGTTTGCAAAATGTATGATCGCATTTTCCACTTGTTGGGATTTGAAACGGTGACATGCAAAGTGAACATATTAATTCGGGATCAATACACTCTTCATCAATGTATTGATAATGTTCGATGAGATTCATTAGTGTGTTTTAATTTGTTATTAGTGTACGTACAGAAAATGAAGGAGATTGTCACTGGTTCGTTATCAGGTTATGAGAGAGAGAGAGAGAGAGTTTCGTTTGATACCGATGATAAATATTCTAAGGCAACATCACGTAAACGAGAGTAAATAGGTAGTCTGATGTGAGGACATAAACGTCGAAGCATATTTATAGTAGTACTTTTTTTCGAGTTTATTTTCGTTAATTACAGTGCAAAAAAAACTCTCAAACGTGAACGACCTTCAAAGCATGTACTTTAAGTAGTATTTAAAGTAATACATGGGGTACGATGAAGAACGGACGAAATATTGATAAGCTACGAAGCGAATCGTATTTCATTGGCATTTTACCTGTACTTGATCGACCGTCACCTGTACTCTACTCTTACCTCTTCCATAAGTAAAACATCAAAGATCTGTCACCGGAGTTCGACGAGGTACAGGTAAAGTACTTTATTCACAAAGTCCCGCTTTCAGAAGAAATGAAACTATATTTATCATAGCAATCACCGTCCGAAAGATAGTTATCTAAGTATGCGTAGTCTTTATAAAATAGAATATATTTCTTCACCAAAAATAGTTAAAGAAGGTACTCCGTTGTAAAAATAACAGACATCATTAAACTAAATTTTCTGCGCTTTTATTCAAGGTAACATAAGTCATTTTTCAATTGTATCTTTTCTGTAGAATATTTTCAGACTTCTTTTATCTAACGTAAGCGCTAATTTTCTTTATTCTAATATTTCAATTTTGATTCTTCGTTTTTATTGATCTTCATTAATATACTTCTAACTGTCAAAGAGTTTTGCACCAATGTTCTCAGCAGCCATTTATATTGAAGTATATTCTGAAGTAAAAATACAAAATCTTGTACGACAGTAAAAAGTATTTCGAAAACTATATATTCGAATACGTACACACTAGGAAAAAATGAAAGCTGCCTTTTCGTCTTCTTTGCTGAAAAAAAAACACTCAAAATTAGCGTGGATGGGGGTATATGTCATAATACTTTCATCAAAAGTGTGGTTTTCTTAACTCGGGAAAAAACCCTTCTTATCGCGCATTTTAACGAGAGACACGAACAATCAAAACAATGAAAAAAGTTAATAGGTGAACTTTTCTTATTAATAATCGAGAAAGAAACATTCTATTCTTTGTGCAATCGAAAGTTAAGAATAGGTACTGTGACTATTACAGACAAAGACATGAATATATTGAAAGCATTCACATTCGAAAATACGAATGAAAAGAAAAGTAAACTTTTACTAATCTTTTCCAGTTTTGAATTCATCACGTGTCGTGTAAATACAAGTAACGCTCACCGAGGCCAACTCGCTTAACCCTCGACTGATTCCTATTTCATACTACTCCTTTCAAACGATGTATCAATATCAACTCATTTATCTCGCAGTCGGTAATTCGCGTCCCTTCGGTCCGCCACTTCCGACTGCTCGATATTGTCCATAGCATTACAGCTTTCTAAAATGGCATGCGCCTTCCTCTGCGACACTTCACAAACAATTTAACTTGCTTAACACTATATCACCCGTTTTTAGCAGATTACTTATGGTCTTGAATCTAAAATGATCGCGAAATACACAAGGAGTACAGTTCTCTTTGGGATTTGCAGTAACAAACAGCGTAACTAAACTGTGACTTTTATAGCCAAGATTCATAATTTTCGATGCTTGTGCGTACTTCGTACATGAGTATGGATAGCTGTATTATCAGGAATTTCACGTTTCCCATAAAAAAAATTCCCAGACGACACTTTCATATAAATATTTGAAAATCCATTTACCTGAGTGAAGAGGGATGCACAGACAAAATGATTAGCAAAATTAGATCCAGATTTATAATCCACCATCACCGAGCTTTTTTGTTCGACGGACTATTACAGGAAATCACGTATATACCTTTGCCTAACGCTTGTAGCAATCAATGAAGCGCAAACATATAAAGAATCATACAGACGACCAAGTTACTTTATCTGATCTTTTCTGCGTCAAATACAGAACCGTCTTAAACGACCTATGCCATATCTTCATCGAATGTTTCGTGCGCCTTTGAGCTCATCTTCTACGGCGCTCTTTTGACCTCGTCACGCATCCTCTACCAACATCTATCCTTTACACCCTACCCAAACGATGTTCTTTAAGTTTTGAGCATTTTCAAAAAAGATGTCTTTTTGACCTTTAACCTTTGACCCTAACACAAACAAACAGACAAACTTTTTTTCATATGACCCTCCTTTCAGTCGAGAGAACGTCTTCTTCGAGTTTTAAACAGTTCATTTTTCCTGAAGACTTATGAAATACTTTATAGTCAATCATTTACGTTCTCTCAAGAACGATATATTATTGAACTCTTTTCTAACGGCAATTGATTGGTGTCTTTTTCTGTACAGATTTTGATGTTATACGTTTTCACGGCGAATGGAATCCTCGTATCATCTTGAGGGTGTGGGTGATCTACACATTCGTCTGTTCGAAGTGAAGTAACAATCGGATGAACATAGTTTATCTACAAAATAGAAGAAAGAGACAGGGAGAACGAAGGAATCTGACAGCGTATTTGTCTGCGTGTCCCATTTGCATTGACTTCCCGTATTAGTTATGGTCATCAAACTTTTCATGCTGGCTGTTTAGATCCAAGAAAACATGGTGAGAGTGCTAACTGCGTAGGGAAGAAATAGGCATCTGCGAATAGAGTGTTAGAAGACTAATAAGGCGTAAATGAAATTTCACCCAGACCCAGACCGCGCTCAGATCATCCACGCCTATCACTCTCACCTTTCCCGCAAAAGACTTCAAAGTCCATCACGCCTTTACAAGAAATAAAATATTTATTGATATATTCTTAAAATGATACATGCACAAGTAATTTGCTGAAACGCAGTTACAAAGCTCGTCTAATATGTTTTTGAAGTTTTTTTCGATATTGTGTTATGCATTTTTGATATTCTCCTCTATAGAATTCCGATGGAATAACAAAAATCATAAAAGTAATCGTTGGCGGTATAAATGAAATAAAATATCCACAAAGAAATATCCATGAGCCTCTGCTTGAGTTCATACATTTAGATACGTACGAAAGAATTAAACGTGGTAACGCAAGAAGAAATAATACGACAGGTGCAGTTAATAGATGTTTATGATTAAGAATTTGTTGATATAAAGTAGATTTATAAGATCCACTCTTTTTAAGATTCGATTGTTGATGATATTTTTTTGTTATTAAAATGATTGATGAAATTAAATTAATGAGAAATGGGACAAAAAATAGTAATGAGTTTACAAATCGATTGTATATTTGTAAATTTGAAGAATAATTCACAATACACCAAATTCGTTTCTTATTCTCATTATCATTTTCTTCTTCAAATAAACGTCGATGAATCGGATCATGAATTGATGTTAATAGAACAAAAACGAAAAGAATCATCATAATTCGTTTTGCTAATTGTCTACTTTTCTTTTTCACAAATTGAACACCTTGAATGATTGTAATGGCTCTTTCCATTGAAACACACGCATTTAACCATTGATCCGTATTTAAACATACTCGAAGAAGAAAATCTAATGAATAACATTGAATTTGCATAAATAATCGATTTGATGGTGCGGAAATTTGTGTTGAAAGATAAATAAAATATTTCAATCCAAAGAAAATCGTTGCTAATATTGTCGTTATCGATGAACCCAGTAAATAAATTCCACAACCGACTTCAAGTACACTTTCGTTTTTAAATGTTATCAAAGTAAGAATACCATTGATCAATCCAACAACCAGAAATAGAATTGTTAATGAAAAACTTATCTTGATGATGGAGGTTTGATGGAAAATATTCACATCAGGAATGATATGATAAGCTAAAATTGCATCAAGTGATAAACCGAATTCACTTGTACTGAATTGACATCGATTTCCATAGTAACATGAGCGACAAACACAGATCGATCGTTTGGGACAATCGGGTGAATCTTGAAAACATTGTCCATCGTTTATACAATCATTTTGACCGTAACAGTCAAATTTCATTTGATAATCGAATTGAAAACAATTCGCTAAGCGTTTCTGTTGATGATCGTAACACAAACAAAAATGAAGATCATCGTGAAAACATTGTAAATGAGGAGAATATTGTCGACAAATCGAATGATAGGATTTGATTCGACGAAGGACATGAAGCTGAGCAAATGTTTCATTCACCAATTCATTAATTGACGGACAACGATGAGATGAATCGATTCTTTTTACGATTGTTCTTGAATAATTAAAAATCGGCTGAACAGCAGTTAAATAATAATTTTTCTCCAACGTTTCAATAAAAACGAGATGAAATGGTTGTGACCAATAGATATCGATCGAATTAGTTGTTTGCGATATCGTTTGTAAAGCTGTAGATCTCGATGGGGAAATTTCAGGAGCTTTGTTAGGTTTCATAGATGAAAGAATTTTGAGGAAATGAATAAAAATTGAATGAGATAAATAAATGTCTTTCTCGAAGATGAAATTCAGTTGAGTATCGATGACTTCACAACGATCTCCACTAAAACCTCTTGGACAAATACAAAAATATTTCTGCTTTATTGATGGTAACATAAAATCATCGTATGGAATACACAAACCATTGTTATCACACGGTGAAATATCACAAATTCGATTTCGAAGATAACATTGAGGCCCAAAATGATTTTCTCGACAAATACATATCGATCGATTATGACTGGATAAACCAACACAGATGGAATTCAATACCGAACAAGTACAATGAAATGGAATGTGACAATATTGACCGGACCATCCCACTTCACATTGACAAAATGTTTCTTCGATATTCGAATAGATCGAACATTTTCCATGAAGACATTTCTTCTTTGAACAACGTTCATGTTGTTGATCATCGTGGCTATCTGAGGGAATTTTAACACGAAATGCTAAACGATGAACGGGTAAAAATGAGAATTTGATTGGATAAAGAAAACTTGTTCGATATGTAAGAGAAAGTTTTTCGTAGATATCAACATGAATTGAATAAGTTCGATTTGGACGTTTCGGTCGAGTTGAATAAAGTAAATAAAGATTAAATTTCAATTGACAATCTCGAATGGATAAGTAAGTGAATTGTTCGAATGAATGAACAATTCGTTCATTTGTATCATCAATGAGCATAACTAACGCTGCAAATTGAATTTGTCGCAATTGTGTCGGAACAACAAATCGCATGGCTAAACTGACACGTTGATTTTGATATTGACATCGTTCTCCATAGTAACTCGGGGGACAAAGACACGCACTTGCATAAGAATTGGATGATTTGTTTAGCCAAACGCGTACATCAAGCCCACGGTAACAACGAGGTTTATCTAATAAACGAATTTGTGTGCCACTAACCGCATTGGTTACTTCGTTTTCAGTTGATTGCTGAAATCCTTCGATTGTAAATTGTTTAAAACGGGCTTTTTCACGAAATTTTGTGGCGAGACATAAGTATTTCTCGATATGCGAAATGAATCCTGAGTCGAAATTGGCACAAATGCTCTTTTGCGGCGAAACTGTTCGATTTCTGAAACAAAATTGTTCATCATCACCATCAAAACAATCCTTCCGTTCATCGCATAATTTGGAATTGGGCAAACATATTGGCGTTTGATTATTCATACAAAAGAAATCATCTCCTTTATATGTAGCGTAGGCGGATGAACAAATGCTTGTTTCGTCTGTCCCACCAAGACAATCGACTTTACCATCGTTTATTTTATAAATTGGTAAACAAGAAAACTGTGATGTGTGTCGAGTTACGCAGATTCGTTCATTCGATGAACAATTAAATAATGATGAGAGATCACAACCGATTTCATCTTCTCCATGTAAACAATTCGTTATTCCATCACATCGAGTATAGATATTATCACATTCCCATTGTTCACATTCAGTTTCATCGGTTTCATTCTTTCCATCGACCGTTATCCAATGTATTTCCTGAAAACGATCACAGGTTGTCTGAAAAAATAGATTTCTTCTCGTAAAGTTGAAAAATGTGGATTCATCTTCACAAAACCCGTATTCATTAATTCCACAATCACATTGTCCGTTGTGAATTACTACTCGAGAGATATATTTGTCTGTGAAATAACATTTGTAATAATTGTGTTGAATTTGTGCGAATAACTGAGAATTTCTATCTTCAAGTATCGTTTCGTCATCTTTAGAAGGACAATCAGGTGTATTATCTGCTAAACGATCGATTGAAATACATTTCGATGAGTTTTGACATTGATAGATATTTGATTCATTACATCGATTGAAAGGGAAATTAATGATTGGTTCAGTTTGAGTCAATTGATAATACAAATCAGTCATGGGAAGGAGATAACGAAACAAAAGGCCAGGATTAAAATTCGAAAATTGATCTTCGAAACGAGTTATTCGAAAACATGTCGTATTGTTGATGGATCCATCGACAACTAAAGCCAATGATCCATAATGAAAAGATTTGTTTGAACATAAATGTGGTAAGAGATAGTTTTTGTTATTTGGCGTATCGTTCTTTTTATATCCAATATAAATATATCCAAAAAATGTTGGAATATTTGGAAAGAAAAACATATCCGGACAGGTCTTGATTATTTGAGGCATACATTTACCGTAGATATCGTTCAATCCATTAGGATTTTGTGAAATGGGAGAACCAAAATAACATCGGAAAGCTGACCAACATTCATTTGACACTGAAACATCTTTCACTGAAAACATCGATTCTGCGATTAGATATTGACGAAAGAAGAAACAAGATCTCGACAAAAATGCCATATCACATCTGATATCATCGAATCCAAATGCTGGTTCATAGTGAAACTCGGAGGGAAATTCTTTGTTATCTGTTGTTTTTTCATCAGATCTATCGACACAATCGTGAATTTTTGCATCATCTTGAACAAATTCATTGGGAATACATTGTCCAATATCACATACATATTCATTTGATTCACATTCGTGGAATTCAAGTTGCCAACAATGTTCTTCGTCGAAGTTTCCATCAAGACAATCAGCTTTCCCATCACAAATCTCAGTCCAATCTAAACATGCTGGTGAATAACCACGATGACATTGGATATGTGTATAACAAGTGATATTCTCCATAGGATCATTATAATTTTCGTAATAATCATGAATAAGTTCATATAACGATGAATAATTCTCATGATACGAATACAATTCATATTGACACATCGGTCCAAATCTTGGCAAAGTACAATTATGAAATATCCATTTCGATAAAGAGAAATTCTTTGTTTCTAAATAGATTTGATATTGTTCAATAGTGTCAATGGGTGTTGACCATAAATAAAGATCGTCACTGGTGATATTCAGTTTGACAAGATCAGAAAAAGAAAATGTTTGTAATGAAGAATCAGTCTCAATGTAAAATTTCCAAGATGGTTCATTCATACAGTAAGAGGAGATTTGTTGAGTAACTTTGGCGTATTTCATATTTGAAGCAAGATGAAAACAATTATATCGTACACCTATACCATCATTATATTGATCACCACTTACCTCATTCATTGTGAAATGAAGATTGAGTTGCGGTGAAGCTGTAATTAAATGTGTCAAAATGAAAGAGAAGAAATATTTTATATGAAACATTTTGCTTTCATATGCAGTAGAATTTCAGAAAATAAATGAATCAAATGTTAGATATTGATTTAATCTAGCAGCTTTCTGTTATGAATAATATGGTTTGTTCCGTTTTGACAAAAGTCTGCGCTTGTAAGCAGATATACCATTTTATTCGATGTTGAATGACGTGCTTCTGCAAAAGATGTAGAAGGAAGAAAAAAATCTGGAAATCAAAATCAAATCTGTTCCATCTGTCTAAAAATTTTTGAGTAAAAATTTATTAATGTCAGCTTTTCTTTTCTTGTGACGAATCTAGAAATAGAGTTTCTGCTGGAATGGGGATGATTACAGGAGTCTAATATTCATAGTCAAATCAACACCATCATATTGGATAAAATATGTGTTATTTTTTCAAAATTATATTCACGATTTAATTCTTAAATAACAAGTAGCGCTCGCCGTGCCGACTCACTTAACTCTCGGCTATGGACGACAGATGTTTTTTTTCGTATCCCAATTATAAGACCAATTGATCTAACAGTTTCATACACGAAGAAACAATTCAAATGTTTTGCACAGATATATCTAGTAATATTCGAAAACAAAATACTGAATTTTTCCTACTGCTTTTGGCGAGGCATATAAAAATCTCAATTTTATACCACCAATGCAATATGCCATAAGAAGAAAGAACCGATGACGCAATACAATAATTACTAGGGCCACTTCAATCGAACAACATCACAACCATACACGACATATCAAACGCGCCACCAAGCATACACACGAGTCAAAAATATAGAACGTCAATCATCAATCTTTATTTGATCTAAGTCAATGTCACTTTCCAGGCATCTTCACCCTCATCTACATACTTCAGCCCATCAACTTCACTACCACGAGACCACTTGCTATTCCATTCAGAAATAGGGCAACTCCGCGAACAAGCAACGCTAACTCCAATTTATGAATAAAACTGGAACAAACACTCAACTACAAAAGAAAATTTTTAACATTAATCCAAATTTACTACGAACACCAACAATAATCATCACTTACTCGCAGAAATTTTATTTCTGTCTTTGTCAAATTCCCATATATTTAATAAGTTCAATTCAATGGATTAGGATTACATTTGACACATGTGATTCTGGAAAATGTATCTGTTGATATCTCTATTTTTCGCTTTCACTGCATTTAGCCATGGTAATACATACGATTATTTATCGTTCTTTTATCACTCCTAAGATCATTTGCAGTTTCACAAAAGTTGGAACGCAATAGCGATTTCAACTGCCTTCTCACACCACTCCTAGCCATCCCAACCCCACATCAGCTTCATATTTCATTATAAACAAATCGACAACAACTGAACACCTAACATACATAGAATCCTCAACTCAGGGAACAGAGCCGCCGATCACCGATTTCAATCACCCAAGTCCACACACCCACCCCAAAAAAGAACCAATCGACGACTCTCACCCTCACTCATCCATCCACCCATAGTTTCACCCAAGGCCCCACCCATGGCTTCACCCCAGGTCGATCATTCCGGTGGCTGGATCCGTTGAAATCTGAGTCGGCTCCGGTACAGCTTTTCTCGATTCCGGCACAGTTTTCGCCGATTCCAGCAAGTTCCGGCAGGTTCTTTGCCGTCGGATTCCGGCCGGAATTGCAAAGGAAATATCCGATCAGTTCCTGATCGTTTCCAGCTCGAAGTTTGCAGGAAACGGTCGGGAAATGACTGGAACCTACGTTTGAACTTCCGGCCGAAATCCGGCGGCAAGGAAATGGTCGGAAAACGAACCTAACCTGCCGGAACCGACCGTGCCATAATAACCTGGGACTCTAGATCCTCTCCCCTTTCACTCTTCATCCGCACTCGTTCTGCCGTAAGTACACTAGAAGTTTACAATGGGTTGAATGATTTTAGAAAAAAAGCTTTTTTGACCTTTGACCCTGACACAAACAAACAAACAGACAGACAAACAATTTTTTTCATATGACCCTCCTTACAGTCGAGGGAAAAAATCAATTCTTTTCCTTTTTACTCAGCAACGCATAAAATCAAAATCACGTATGGAAAGAAAATGCTCCAAGTTTTTGTATTAATCTGGTTAGGTGAAACTATCGATGGCTGCATTGACATTCTGACCGAACTTTCCTATGGAAAGATTCTTTTAATTACATTTGATAAATCATGTCAAACAATCGTTCTGATAATTCACGAGTTCGGACAACTTTATTCTGTTTTGATTTTTTCGACATAGCGAAGTAAGATAATCAAAATAATGGCAATCTCGATGACCAAATTGATCCATCATTTATGTTCACACAGATTATAAGAGAAATTTGGCTGACTATAAAATTCATCGATCGAGATATCAGAGAATTCCTTACCTATTGTCGTAGTTTATTCGTCTCAAAGATTAAGCAAACGATAGATACCGATAAAATTATACGATGATAGATCACCCATTAGAGGGTATACTTGTAAATCTGAATTATATTTTACATTAAATTGTGCTCTTCGGCTGATGGAAATTAGTGTGATTATCAATATGGGTTATTTTCTTCACAATCGTCATTGTCAAATCGAACGATTATATAATGAATAATTTTGTTGTCAACAGCTCCCTTTGCAAATCTTAATCAAGAGCTAGAATAATGGTATCGATCATGTGTGTTGTTGATTCGTATGGGTTAACTTGATAGAGATCGGAGAGTGGATAAGGTTTCAACAAGTTGTATGACTCGAAACAATGAAAAACTTCATCTTTATTGTTAACTCGAAGGAATGAAAAATAAATTAGGAGAGTATGAAGAGTCGAGACATATTGTAACAGCAGCTGAACATTTCTTCCAATACATCATCAAGAAGTGAGTATTCTCTACGATAATATCAATGCAGCGTACACAAACATGAGAGAATATGACGAAGCACTCCCATATTGTCAGAAAGCACTACAAATCAACAACAATCCTTGTCAGCAACTTATCCCAATTTAATTTCGTCGTATATCAACATAGATACGTTATTAAAACCATTGTCTCATTGTCAACATGCTTTAGATATGAGACAACAAACACTACTATTCGAACATGCTTCTATACAACATTGTCAAATGATGATCGAGAACATATGCCTTTTTTTTCTTACTTTTAGATAACGAAATGAATACGGCGCTAAACAAAGTAATGTAGAGAGCAAAATTTGATAACGCTCTATGCAGTTACAAGAGAAAAGAATATTACTCGTGCATCTGTTTCAGTCGAATGTGTGACTTTGTGATAAGAAGAGACAATAAAGTCGTCTATATACGAACGTCGACGACACATGTATATAAACCTTGACTCGTTAGTAAATCGATGGTATGGCTTCGATTACGGATTTTTTTTTCTTTTGTGATCGTTAAGTTCTGAAAACAATCAGAGAATAACGAAATCCGTAATCGAAATTATGCTACAACTCTGAAACTATTTCACACTTATCTAAAACAGGAGAGTGTAGTATCAAACGAAATTTTATTAAAATATTTGCACACGTAATCTAAATTTACCGAAAGGAATTCCTGAATAGCAAAATGGGAGATCAAAGCAAGATGTACAGGTACATCTCGTGGATAATTTAACTAAAAATCTAACTAAAATTTCAAACGTTTTGTCTAAGAATTGAAATCACGTCTTTGTCATTGTTTCTTCGGCAGGCGAAATGCGAAACAGCAGAGAAGAACTGTATCGATAATATGAATAACGGAAATAATAGCCGTAAATCGATGTAGTTTCTTCTTACAATATGTTTGCGATTCGTACATTCGATCGTACTGAATAACCTTGATAATATTCAATGCATGATTGAGAAGGGAAAGCAAGAATATAACTAAAAGAATATGAGCAACGATTAAGATTATACGTAGAGCTATTGCTAGAATTGTTAAGATTTTTTTATCTTTCACTTCTTTCCGTGGCACCAAGGTCAGGGCTAATGCTGTAACAATAGCAAGTGTAGTTGTAAATATCGAGAGTATTCCAGCTAGATGTAAATAAGTTGGAATAAGAGGATCCGCTGAACAGTGATTGCTATATGTAATACCAAAGACGATCTCAAGAATGGAGACTACTAATGCAATAGCGACACAAACCAGAAGCGGAATCGCTGAGTGTAATGTTTGAGCTTTATTAGAACTTCCAGCCTTGTTGGATGTTCCCTTTTGATAACCCGCTGGTGTTCGACTGGGGTTGTCAAAACTATAATCGACGCCAGTAGACGATATTGGTGGATCATTTGTTGACGTTTCAGCAGAGGGTCGCTCGGAAATAGATGACGATGGTCCAGCGCCTGAAACCGGACGTTTTTGAGCATCTTGTGGTTCTCGTGAAATACCAGGTGATGATATACCTGTGTTTACTATCGAACCCACTGCACCCGGCTTGTTAGGATCAGCTGTCTTTGAATTCGAGTCTTGTCGTTCCCGTGAATCGATGGGTGACGATATACCTGTGTTAACTATCGAACTTACTGCACCCGGCTTGTTAGGATCCGTTGTCTTTAAATTCGAGTTCTGCGAGTCACCTGCATTTCCAGTATCATTTTGTGGTGATGGTGAATGACCAACATTCGATGTATTAGTCGACCCAGATCGAGCTGTTAACGAAGGTTCTGATTCGTTTGCATTTGAAGCATCGGATGGTGGTGATGTTGTCGTTGTGACTGGTGTGCCTAATCGATCATCATTATCCGACGGATCAGTTGGTTTTGATTGGCCTGCTGACGGAGGTTCTGATTCGTTTGCATTCGAAGCATCGGATGGTGGTAATGTTGTCGTTGTGACCGGTGTGCCTAATCGATCATCATTATCCGACGGATCAGTTGGTTCTGATTGACCTGCAGACGGTGGTCCTGATTCGGTCGTATTCGAGGCCTCAGGTGTTGTTATCGTTTGTGTACTCGATGGATTATCGTTACCCGATTGTTCAGCTGACGCAGTTTGAGGTGGTGACTGCTGCTCTGTTTCTCCTGCGGGTGAAGGTTGGGGTGTTCCTGCACCAGTCTCTGTTGGTGGTTGATTCTCGGTAGTTGACGATTCACTCAAATCAGCTTGAGATGATGGCTGCTGATCTGATTTTTCAGTGATTGTAGCTGGTGGTGACGTCGGTTCGTCTTGTGCACTTGGAGGATTATCAGCGCTCGATGCTTCATTTGGTTCATTTCCAATTGTTGATTGTTGTTCTGATCCGGCCGTGTTGGAAGCTTCTAATGTACTACCGATCGCTGGTGACTCATTTTGTTGTTCTGATTCTGTTGAATTCGTATTCTGAGTCGATGAGTCATCTGTCTCCGACGTGGACAGAGGTGCGTCAACGTTGTTTGGTGACGATTCGGTCACTTCGGTCTTAGGCGTTACATCTTGCTCTGATATTACTGGATTTGCAGTCTGTTGTGATGTTGCTTCAGCCATTATTTTTTTTGAAATAAAAAACGTAATAGAAAGAGACCTTGAAAATGTTTGCGAAGAAAAGAAAAGAACAAAAGAAACCTTTTTAAGTAACCACTACCTTTTATATTTGCACGAGAGAGAAGAAATAGTAAGTAAACTACGTAAATGTGTTTTGAATTTTTCATCATACAAAAAAAGAGTGGGTAAAGTTAGTAACGAAGTCGAATCATATATTTACATATTCATTTCAAAATTGCTGTCTAACAGAAAATTTTTCATTTCTGATCGGTGTCATGTGAAATGTACTGAAAAAAACACAATTGATGATATACGAATGAGATTGTAAATAGGTTTTATTACCATTTCTCGACCTAGTAATTTCACAATAAATATATGATAATTCACAAAATCCGCTTATCAACTTTGACAACAAGTTTGCAAGAATCACAAAATATGAATGCGAATGGAAGTGTACGGCACGTTCATGTTTTTCTTACTTACATATTTTAAATGCTTTTTTATTGTCGTGTTTGATGTTTATATTAAAAGCGAATAGTCGACGAGTACGAATTTATTGTTGGTTTTCGACGACACGAATATCTGTATTAATCAAGGCGATACTTATGTCAATAGTTACACACATTTCAGCGACAGAAATGTCATTCTCTGTATAACACTTAATGATTCTTTTTTGAAGAAAACAGTATGTTATAGAAAGTTAAACTAAACGTTAGTTTTTTTAACAACTCTACAATATAACTCGCAAACTTTTTCACAACGTTATTACAACACACTACGAAGTTGATTCGCGGTATCTTCTTGACGGTTTTGTCCGACTCGCATCGTTACAGCCAGGTTACTGATAAAAGCATTTCTTCCTCTCCATCGATGATATAAAGTTTGCGAGAACAATTTCAGCACACCTGCAATCATCGTTTTGCGGAATAAGTTGGATGTTAATGTTGATAAATAAAACGATCTCACATGAATCAAATAGTATAAATTGTTTGTTAAACTCATCAGAAAACCGACGATTGCCCATTCTTCTGCACTTTGATTGCTATTTTGTATTGTCAAAAAGTACCAATACACTCCGATCCACAATAGTACAAAAAAACTGCTGACAAACACTTGAGCAAACACCATTCCAATGAAATGATTTCGACGACGGTTTCTTTCTGTTGTTAGTGCTCCACCCTGCAACATAGGATAATTGCCTTGAAAATATTTGCCACATTACTTACAGCTCTTTGACGATGTTGTACAATATTCCGATAGGTGAAAAATACGAAGATCAACATTACCAGTGGTGTGAGGATTCCATGAATGCTTATATAAGCAATAGCATTTGCCGTTGGATTTGTTGCACCGCATCCATAACCGGGAATAATGTCGTACGTCAGAGGAGAATATAGTGATGCAACACAACTGACAGCCGTAGTGATGAAGATCATCCATGGCACCGTTTTTAACCGTATTAGACGAGACATTCGAGAGGTTGGATCGAAAGTACAGGCATATCGATCGATTAGAGACATCATCAAGAGATCTAAGGACAACTGAGGAAAAAATACCACCGAAAATAGTCTTAGTTTACATATTAACTTGTCAGAAATGAATGAAGAAGCACTGTCTGACGTTGGATTAAGATATTGTGGGAAAAGGTTGACAAATAGATTGATGATATCGATAAACGAAGCTGTGAGTGTGTAGATGCAGAATGAGTTGTTTCGAAGTTTTGGTTGAAGAAATGTGAAGAGATTGCCAATAAATCCAATGAGACCGAGAACAGTGATGATGAGAGGAAGTTGGTTCACAAATCTTTGTTGTACTAAATTTAAATCATCGATGATTGATTTAGTAGACGACAGATTGAACGAAGAAAGTGTTTGACTACTTGCTAACATTTTAGTAATAATGTGAATGAAACAAGAAATTCTTTTCAAAGAGGCTTATGAAAAAATTTTTCTAAAAGTTTTTCTTAGCTGACAGCATGAGAAAAACTATAATGCTTTAGGTTCACATATAATAAATTAGCTGTCATTGTTCCGTCTAATAAAACGAAGTAGAATGTGTAAAAATAGTGTCATGAATATTCTGATTGTGGAATTGTTTCGCAAAAGTAAAAAAAGAAAGAATAGTAGATTCTTTTGAAAAACTAAGTTACTATACTTAATTAGAGGAGTTATCCAGAATCTGGTTCAGTTGCTATTTTCTATAAATTCTGGAGTTCGGATAAGTCGTGAAAATTGCGTATTGACCCGACTTTCTTCAGGCTATACTTGGAAACAAAGAGTGAATATCAGATTATGCCGTTAGATTCGTATTCTCAGGGACTTCCTGAGTCTATGAAATAGAAGCGTATCGAACTTTAATGAGAAGACATAAGTCACTTGTATAAAGAACATAAGAATTCAAGGAATGTGTATACATCGTTTACACACCTTATGAAGTTCACTAAATTATATGACATCATTCTGAATGAGTTAATTTACCGTGTATAGCGCTGTTCTTTGCGAACTGACGATAAATATTCCCTGAGATGATCTTTTCCCTAGGAACAAAATAGTAAGATCTCGAATCCTTTAGTATTTGACATTTTGTTCATGACAGCATAAGATTATATTTACCGATGCATTAGCTCAATTTTCTACTAGAGTTTCGAACTTTGCCACCATACTGTTACCAAAATCGTCGCTATCCACATGAATTATATTCATAGAGATGTTGTTCTCTGAAAGCGAAGTAACAGGATTATCTATATTAAAATGAGTCATTTATGTTTTCTTTCTTTCGAGCATTTGACCATAGAAATATAGGATTTTGTCATTTTTTTTCTCGTATTTTACTGTGAAATTCCAGAACAAGATCGAAATAGAAATAAATTTTGCATTTTACTCATGTTTCTTGATGCTATTCTAAACATGTCATCCCAAAATGATCTTTTCATTATTATGCGTCTTGGAAAGGACGTCATTGAAACGAATTTGTATAAAATAATGAAATATCAATTACATGATCGAATGATCACATAGAAAATCATTGATGCAGAACACAGATGAATTTATTTGATCCCATCAGACGATCTTTATGGTAAAACTTGGGCTGATTGTGCAGCGACAAGAGTGTTTAGATTCTTGTATGTAATCCTTTAATGGGAGATTTTATTAATTACTTTTACTTCTTAATCACCAGTAGGAAAAAACTCACAAGAGAAGAACATCTCCAGATGAAATTCAAAGAGTACTGAAGACTTTTTCCAATTATCATCGAGTTCAGAATGATCTAATTCAAGTTTTCAAATGTATCTTATAGTAAATATGAACTGTTTTTGACTGTCAACAATTACTCGAACTCACTGCTCTACGAAGAGAACTTTTCAACACAGTCTTTCTTTCTTTGATAGATTTTTTGTTCCAAGACTCAGATTTCCATTTTCAAAGGACTAAGTATATTTGAATGTGTGTAAATTTGACGAAGACAGATACACAATAAAGCTGCAAGTAGAAGATAACAGAAGCACATTTATTTGATTTGAATTTTGCAATTGACGAATGCGAAGCTTTTGCGTAAAATATAGAGACAAACAACCGAAAAAAAGATCTAGTAATATGAAAGTTTTCATCGACTCAGCAGACATTTGTATTGATGAAAATAAGTATAGCATCGTTCGCTTCATCCACGACAACCAAATCTGCTTTTTCATCGTTGTTGAGGTCACCTGTAATAAGTCTTGTTGGTGTGCTGTTGGTGCCTGTGGAAAATATTGTTGGTGGAGAGAATGTTCCATCACGAGATCCAAGCCAAATACCTATATTTCGCATATAATTATTAGTGACTGCTAGATCTATTTGACCATCATTGTTGAAATCAGCTGCTGCTATTGAAGTAGGGTAAGTGTATACTCCAGTGGAATAATTAATTTGTGATCTGAATGTTCCATTGCTATTCTGAAAAAAGATACCGATAGTATTCCTGTCGGTATTGACAAGAGCCAAATCCAAACGATTGTCATTGTCAAAATCAGCTGCAACTAATGCACTCAGAGAAGAGTGAAGTTCAATGAACAATCTATTGAATAGAATGAAACTTCCAGCACCATTATTTAGTAAGATTGTTATACACACACGGTAAGAATCTAATGCAGCTATATCGACTTGATTATCATTGTTAAAATCGCCGGCAACCATCCAGTCTACGGATATGATACTACAGTCAAGAATCACTATTGATGCACTAAAGCCACCTGTACCATCGCCAAACCTTACACACAAACCGCAACCGCCAATAGCGAGATCTAAATTGCCATCGCCATCTATATCAATAGCAACAGCAGCGAGCAGAGACGAAATATATGTGATCGATGATGTGATTCGAGTATGAAAAGTTCCGTTTCCATTGCCAAGAGAAACATCAATAAAATTGAAGTAATCTATGACAACAAAATCTGCATAGGTATCTCCATTAAAATCTCCAACAACTACCCTTTCTGGTAGGGTACTTGGTCTGAGCAAATACGGTGTTTGTACTCTAAAACTTCCATCATTATTACCTAATAAGATACTGACATTTTCACGTGCTTGGCTAGTAAAAACAAGATCTGAATAGCCATCCCTATCGAAATCATCGATCACAAGGCTTGATCGAAACGAATCAGCTTCAGCCGAATATGTTGATGATAAATGAAATGCTGCTGGACAAAGCGATTCTAAGACGATCAAAATGAAAGCAATCAATCAAATAGGTAATATCATTTATATGGTGACTTCTAAAGATATAGTATGGAAGTACAGTGTTCGTCATTTTTACTCATTATACTCTTTTTTTCCGAAAATAGTGAGAGCTGAATCAACAAGAGATGTGTACACGTGAGTTCAAATTTACGTCGAACATTTGCGCTTATGTGTCGTGGTTACAAATAATTATGAACAGTTTTGGTAAGAAGAAAGCTTCTTATACAACTAGTCGCACATATATAGAGCATTTTCAATTGTTACACGAAGCAGAATTTGTTCAGAGGCGATAGTAGTCTAATCATCATCGCTATTCTTTGATGTTCTAAAACGTAATTATTGTACAAACCTGCTGTTGATGAAGTGACTATACTCGATGTTGTGAATAGTGTACTTAGGGTTGAGGGCACTAAAACAAAGAAACAATGATAATAGATGCATAGTATTACTTAAGTTGACACTGAAATATTTATTAACATTACTATCTCTAATTTTGTAAATCTTAGTTTCCTAACTGTAACTATCAGTCTTTGATTGATTAACTGTGACTATGAATGCGTTGCGCAAAAGAAAACCAACTTTTGTTCATTTGTTTATTTTTATCTGAGATGAAAACGAAATTATCATACTTGTAATTGTTGCATCGCCTTGTTTCGCCAAACGATTTAAGTAAATAGATACGAGAATTAAAACAATGACCATCACTATGAATAATATCATTCCTACGACGAAGAAGTGATGCGTTCTCGAAGAAAGAGACATTCTACAAATAGAAAGAATTAAAGGTTACGGCCAGGAATGGTAAAATCATAACATACGTATTTGATGAATTTGTAGCNGTATGAAAAGTTCCGTTTCCATTGCCAAGAGAAACATCAATAAAATTGAAGTAATCTATGACAACAAAATCTGCATAGGTATCTCCATTAAAATCTCCAACAACTACCCTTTCTGGTAGGGCACTTGGTCTGAGCAAATACGGTGTTTGTACTCTAAAACTTCCATCATTATTACCTAATAAGATACTGATATTTTCACGTGCTTGGCTAGTAAAAACAAGATCTGAATAGCCATCCCTATCGAAATCATCGATCACAAGGCTTGATCGAAAAGAATCAGCTTCAGCCGAATATGTTGATGATAAATGAAATGCTGCTGGACAAAGCGATTCTAAGAAGATCAAAATGAAAGCAATCAATCAAATAGGTAATACCATTTATATGGTGACTTCTAAAGATATAGTATGGAAGTACAGTGTTCGTCATTTTTACTCATTATACTCTTTTTTTCCGAAAATAGTGAGCGCTGAATCAACAAGAGATGTGTACACGTGAGTTCAAATTTACGTCGAACATTTGCGCTTGTATGTCGTGGTTACAAATAATTATGAACAGTTTTGGTAAGAAGAAAGTTTCTTATACAACTAGTCGCACATATATAGAGCATTTTCAATTGTTACACGAAGCAGAATTTGTTCAGAGGCGATAGTAGTCTAATCATCATCGCTATACTTTGATGTTCTAAAACGCAATTATTGTACAAACCTGCTGTTGATGAAGTGATTATACTCGATGCTGTGAATAGTGTACTTAGGGTTGATGGCACTGAAACAAAGAAACGATGATAATATATGCATAGTATTACTTAAGTTGACACTGAAATATTTATTAACATTACTACCTCTAATTTTGTAAATCTTAGTTTCCTAACTGTAACTGTCAGTCTTTGATGAACTGTGACTATGAACTTCTTGAGCAAAAGAAAACCAACTTTTGTTCATTTGTTTATTTTTATCTGAGATGAAAACAAAATTATCATACTTGTAATTGTTGCATCGCCTTGTTTCGCCAAACGATTTAAGTAAATAGATACGAGAATTAAAACAATGACCATCACTATGAATAATATCATTCCTACGACGAAGAAGTGATGCATTCTCGAAGAAAGAGACATTCTACAAATAGAAGCAATTAAAGCTTACGGCCAGGAATGGTAAAATCATAACATACGTATTTGATGAATTTGTAGCNAAATTATCATACTTGTAATTGTTGCATCGCCTTGTTTCGCCAAACGATTTAAGTAAATAGATACGAGAATTAAAACAATGACCATCACTATGAATAATATCATTCCTACGACGAAGAAGTGATGCGTTCTCGAAGAAAGAGACATTCTACAAATAGAAAGAATTAAAGGTTACGGCCAGGAATGGTAAAATCATAACATACGTATTTGATGAATTTGTAGCTAGTCTATCTGAATCCATGACGATATCATGAGTGTCAGTTGTATATACTTCAGTAGCGATCTTTTTGCAATTTGTCACAGTGTTGGACTGATCCGAATGAACAGTATTTTTTCGTTTTTTCACATATCGGAACACTTTATCGAACAGCACGACTAGTTTAGGACATATTGCCTTGAAAATGAATGTCAATCCACCATAGAGACTAAGTAACAAAGCTATCGTATAGGCAAAGCTAATCTGTTCTTCATAAGAGTATGAACACGAGAAAGGTGAACATTGAGTAAAATATGAAGAATAGTCGATTAATGTTGATAAATTTTCAATGAAGAGATCATTGATAAGATCCATCACTGTTGAATTGATTGGCGGATGACTGCTATTAGTAGAAAGTGATAAGTGATTAGTGGTGTTTACAGAGCTGTCCGTGCTAGTAATATAGTCAAAGAAGAGCTTGATACATGCTGGATCATAGAAGCATTCTAATGTCGACGCTAGCAATGCTTCACTGGGTGTACAACCCATTTTCAAACCTTTGATTGGCACAAAAACTGATGCATTTTGTGAGAAAAATCCAGCTTGAGTGGTACATGTCATATCCAATGCGCATGAACAATTATGATCATAAGTCAAGGCATAAGTGATTGCTGCACCACTGGTAACATTTAACCACGGAGCGATGAAACGAAAGTTAGTTCCATAGACTGAAATGATCGGAGTAGCATGGCTGACAGTTCGAAGTAGAAAAAGACGATTTCGAAAGTTTATCGGAGCATTTGCTCGAACTTGATTGATGAGTAATTCAACACGTGTCTCTAGTTCATCGTATGGTAAGAGTTCATTCGTTATAAGAAACGATGAAAGAAGTTGATCAATGGTATTATTCATCGATGNCGGAGCGATGAAACGAAAGTTAGTTCCATAGACTGAAATGATCGGAGTAGCATGGCTGACAGTTCGAAGTAGAAAAAGACGATTTCGAAAGTTTATCGGAGCATTTGCTCGAACTTGATTGATGAGTAATTCAACACGTGTCTCTAGTTCATCGTATGGTAAGAGTTCATTCGTTATAAGAAACGATGAAAGAAGTTGATCAATGGTATTATTCATCGATGACGTGGCCAGGTTACATAATTCCGAAAGGAAATGTAAATGGGCCGAAAGGAAGCGACGATAATCTTTGATAAGATAAATCGAAAGATCAGGAAGGAGATTCCGAGTAATATTAAAGCGCCATTCTTGTGAAGTAAATATACTTGAGCATATCTATGATAAATGTAATACAGAAAAATGCTCGAAGTACTCGTATTTTGTATTCTAAGAAACTTAAAATGATCTCCGACTCACTTGATGATAAACCGGTTCTATTTGGATGAGATGATCATACGTTGTTGAAATACTTGAGCAGGAACAGTGCAATTTATCTCGATAAATTTGGAACAAAGCATTGTACTTCTCGATCTTTGGTTTCTCAAAAACTTTTGTTACTGTCTGTGGCTGAGTTACACTATAGACAGCCAAAATAATCACACTGGTCGTCAACGAGATAATATAGAGACGAGTTGATAATCGACCAAAATGTTTTGCTTTTCTTCGACCAATACGACTACCAAACGTTCGTAGAGGAAAGATGTTTAGAGTAATTAGAGTACTGTAGAATAGTATGACCAGATTGTAAAGAGTCATTTTGAGTCGATCGACTAATATTTGAGAAGCTATGAAGTGAAAAGAGAAGGTCATTTTGATTAAGCTTGAAACTAAAAATTACGTTGTTGTTGTTGCTGTGGATTGGTCTGTCTTGGAACTCTTCGTCTGCCCAAAGTGAGAACGATTTTAATTAGCCGTGGTGTTATTAGGCGTAAAGCAGCAGTAAGACCACCGATCAATGACATGATCAGTAAAACTTTTTGAATGAAACTATGCTCATGTACTGTTTGGGAATAAGCACATTTGCTAGGTGCACATGCTTCATAATATTGTTCAAAAGAAATAAATGGATTCCATTGTTCTACCATTAGTTCTTTCAAAATCATCGAAATTGATGTATTCGGAGGAAAACGACTGGATGACGAGTTGTAAACAAGTAAGTTTGCATTAATCTGCCTAGTATAATCATAATTATCACTCAGTGATTTATTTATATACTTATAATTTAGATCCACACACGACTGCGAATAGTAGCATTCAAGTGTTGACAGAAGCACAGAATCGAATTTGAAGCATTTGATAACTTGTCCGGGAACATCAATAAACGATGTAGAAGCAGGCGTCGACCTTTTATTATAGAAAGGTCAAAACAAAAAGACTCCAGGAAACGGAGAACAAAGATTTATCGGCGAGGGTAGAAATCTCAATCTGTAATACGTATCACAGAATGCACGATACAGCTTGAGTCGAATATTGATGTTCTGACTCCGCAAGATATCTTCACCCTCGTCGAAAACCTAAGGCGATTAGACCTATATGAAGATCATATGCCGAACTCATCAATTTACGAAAATATGTCTTTCTCTACTTGTATGAAGAAGAAAATGAATGGCTGTCGTAGTGTCACAATGCAAGTCGGCAAAACCTATTGAGTGCATGCTGCGATAATTCTTTTACAAATCTCCCAAATTTTCNAAGGCATAAGTGATTGCTGCACCACTGGTAACATTTAACCACGGAGCGATGAAACGAAAGTTAGTTCCATAGACTGAAATGATCGGAGTAGCATGGCTGACAGTTCGAAGTAGAAAAAGACGATTTCGAAAGTTTATCGGAGCATTTGCTCGAACTTGATTGGTGAGTAATTCAACACGTGTCTCTAGTTCATCGTATGGTAAGAGTTCATTCGTTATAAGAAACGATGAAAGAAGTTGATCAATGGTATTATTCATTGATGACGTGGCCAGGTTACATAATTCCGAAAGGAAATGTAAATGGGACGAAAGAAAGCGACGATAATCTTTGATAAGATAAATCGAAAGATCAGGAAGAAGATTCCGAGTAATATTAGCGCGCCATTCTTGTGAAGTAAATACACTTGAGCATATCTATGATAAATGTAATGCAGGAAAATGCTCGAAGTACTCGTATTTCATAGTCTAAGAAAATGTGAAAATGATCTCCGACTCACTTGATGATAAACTGGTTCGATTTGGATGAGATGACCATATGTTGTTGAAATACTTGAGCAGGAACAGTGCAATTTATCTCGATAAATTTGAAACAGAGCATTGTACTTCTCGATATTTGGTTTGTCGAAAATTTTTGTTACTGTCTGTGGCTGAGTTACACCATAGATAGCCAAAATAATCACAGTGGTCGTCAGAGAGATAATGTAGAGACGGGTTGATAATCGACCAAAATGTTTTGCTTTTCTTCGATCAATACGACTACCAAACGTTCGTAGAGGAAAGATGTTTAGAGTAGTTAAAGTACTGTAGAATAGTGTGACCAGATTGTAAAGAGTCATTTTGAATCGATCGACTAATTTTTGAGAAGCTATGAAGTGAAAAGAGAAGGTCATTTTGATTAAGCTTGAAACTAAGAATTACGTTGTTGTTGTTGCTGTGGATTGGTCTGTCTTGGAACTCTTCGTCTGCCCAAAGTGAGAACGATTTTAATTAGCCGTGGTGTTATTAGGCGTAAAGCAGCAGTAAGACCACCGATCAATGACATGATCAGTAAAACTTTTTGAATGAAACTACGCTCATGTACTGTTTGGGAATAAGCACATTTGCTAGGTGCACATGCTTCATAATATCGTTCAAAAGAAATAAATGGATTCCATTGTTCTACCATTAGTTCTTTCAAAATCATCGAAATTGATGTATTCGGAGGAAAACGACTGGATGACGAATTGTAAACAAGTAAGTTTGCATTAATCTGCCTAGTATAATCATAATTATCACTCAGTGATTTGTTTATATACTTATAATTTAGATCCACACACGACTGTGAATAGTAGCATTCAAGTGTTGACAGAAGCACAGAATCGAATTTGAAGCATTTGATAACTTGTCCGGGAACATCAATAAACGATGTAGAAGCAGGCATCGACCTTTTATTATAGAAAGGTCAAAACAAAAAGACTCCAGGAAACGGAGAACAAAGATTTATCGGCGAGGGTAGAAATCTCAATCTGCAATACGTATCACAGAATGCACGATACAGCTTGAGTCAAGTATTGATGTTCTGACTCCCTAAGACACCTTCACCCTCGTCGAAAACCTAAGGCGATTAGACCTATATGAATATCCTATGCCGAACTCATCAATTTACGAAAATATGTCTTTCTCTACTTGTATGAAGAAGAAAATGAATGGCTGTCGTAGTGTCACAATGCAAGTCGGCAAAACCTATTGAGTGCATGCTGCGATAATTCTTTTACAAATCTCCCAAATTTTCTAGCTATGATTGACTCAGATTGAAGCTGATACTACTAGTCAATCGAACTCACCAGCTCTCACTGTACTGCATGTATTATCATGCGCATGATGTATAAAAAAATAATGCACTTTCAAAATAGATACCACTTTTACTTTTATTTACTACGTATTATGTTTTCTTATTTGATCCTTTTCGTTTTTGCTGTTATTGACAATACATACCAACGGTTCGTTTGATTTATCGGATCTACCACCGGTGTCTGACAGTCTGTATCAGTAGCACAGATACAATCGATTGCTTTTGTTTTTATGTTTGCTGGACCCGTGAGATTAAATTCAAGCTAAACAGAGCAACTAGATTATGTGTCGTTGTCACTTTGCACATGCAAACAATACACATGTATATCATAGTAACCCTTTATTCATACAAACCGTTGTAATGAGACGAAAACAAATCAGTTTTGAAGGATATGGATATCATTTTTCCACTATACTCTTTATCACTAGGTGCATTCTAGACCGTAACAGATATAGCCCAAACGATGAAACAAGAGTTATACAAGAAAATACGTGCCATAACATTAAATTGCAAATGATCAAAAACTCCATACATACCTCAAAGAATTGATCGGTGACTGCCTGACTTTGTGTGGGAGGAGCGACTAATAGTGCATTATCGCTTCGTGTATATGGTTGGTCCGTCTGCATGAGAAGTTGGATGCTATTAATGAGAAGGTTAAAGTTGATCGCAAGCGTTTGTTGAAATTGGTTGAGTGTACTATTTAATTGCGCGGTAAAATTAGCTTCTGTGATGACGTCGATCGTAGCTAATTTTTGTATGCCAAAGTTGTCAATAGCATGTTTGACGGTATCGTTACTTAATTGACAAAGAGTTGACAGCAAACGGAAATGTCGACTACTGAAACCAAACCAAGAGTATATAGGAGCACCAATGTATAGGTATTCAATCCATGACATAGACTGAATCCAAGCATCGGAGAGAAAATCGCTAGAGCACAGTTGGTGGAAAGTTGGTGTGAAATTCATCAGCGTTTGGTATGAGATTGCGATATTGGAACAAGGACATTGAAGCAAGTTAGAATACGAAGTCAATAGATTTTTGTATGTTGCCAACGAAGGATTAGGTATGGTGTTGATAATTGTTCGAGTACTCAACGATGTAAACAGTATTAAAATACATATGGCCGCTGGATTGCACGAAAAAATATAGTGTTATAAGAATAGATAATGAAAGAGTAGAAATACACTACTTAAGAGAATTAAATAATTCTACTTAGTGGGATTGAAATTACTGCATAAAATCTTACTGGATTCTTGAACAATCCAACTATTAGAATTCATCGAGTCCGCAGTAGTATAAAGTACCAAAGCGTATTATCTGTACTAATTAAAATCACTTTTACGCAAGTTTTATTTGATAACAATTTACTTGTATATTTCATAATATTTCGAAAGACTCTGTATCTACAGCTATGTTATCATATTTCTTGAACTGATTTGTATTTAGTTATGAAAGTGTTGTACAACAGTCAGCCGAACGAGAAGTGTCGAATATCTGACTTATAATGAAGATCGTCACTCGTCTTTCATGCGAGATACTCGCGTGGTATGAGTTTTCCTATCTGCGGCCAATTATGCTTGAAATCGCACGTACAGTTTATATCGATACAATATGAACCATTGTACCATCGAAAGCTTTTCGATTCACTCTATAGAATGATAGCAGAGCGAAGATCTGATAGAGATCTCATCTGTACTACAGATATCAGGTTAAAAGGGACGCATTTTCTTGGAGTAATTCTCTCATAGGTATCTAGCATCTACTCATATTGGCAGAAAATGACACTAGAAGATGGTAGAAGTTCTGACAAGACAACAGTGCTCATACTTGCAAGTAAAATAAAATATACGCGTGTCGTGATCCTTTGCATTTTAAGATCGGCCTCCGTTCGATGATTGATTGATTTGAACAAATTCAAACATTGTATATATCTGACAGATCTGACAATGTTTGCCATAAGGTCTTCTAGAAATAGAAAATGATAAAATACAAAATGAAATATGTGTGCAGCTATGAAATATTACCAGAACTACAAGTAGTATTCGTCGAACGCGATTTTAATGTGAAGAATACGTTAATTAGCAAAGGCGCTGCCAAGCGAAGCAGGATGACAAGTCCACCATAGAGACCAAGTAGGAGAGTAATTGTATAGGAAATATTGATGTGATTGATTCCAGTATATGTACACGTAGTTGAAGCGCATGCAANGGAGCAACTAATGGTGCATTGTCGCTTCGTGTATATGGTTGGTCCGTCTGCATGAGAAGTTGGATGCTGTTAATGAGAAGGTTAAAGTTGATCGCAAGCGTTTGTTGAAATTGGTTGAGTGTGCTATTTAATTGCGCGGTAAAATTAGCTTCTGTGATGACATCGATCGTAGCTAATTTTTGTATGCCAAAGTTATCGATGGCATGTTTGACGGTATCGTTACTTAATTGACAAAGAGTTGACAGCAAACGGAAATGCCGACTACTGAAACCAAACCAAGAGTATATAAGAGCACCAATGTATAGGTATTCAATCCATGACATAGACTGAATCCAAGCATCGGAGAGAAAATCGCTAGAGCACAGTTGGTGGAAAGTTGGTGTGAAATTCATCAGTGTTTGGTATGAGATTGCGATATTGGAACAAGGACATTGAAGCAAGTTAGAATACGAAGTTGATAGATTTTTGTATGTTGCCAACGAAGGATTAGGTATGGTGTTGATAATTGTTTGAGTATTCAACGATGTAAACAGTATTAAAATACATATGGCCGCTGGATTGCACAAAAAAATATAGTGTTATAAGAATAGATAATGAAAGAGTAGAAATACACTACTTAAGAGAATTAAATAATTCTACTTAGTGGGATTGAAATTACTGCACAAAATCTTACTGGATTCTTGAGCAATCCAACTATTAGAATTCATCGAGTCCGCAGTAGTATAAAGTACCAAAGCGTATTATCTGTACTAATTAAAATCACTTTTACGCAAGTTTTATTTGATAACGATTTACTTGTATATTCATAATATTTCGAAAGACTCTGTATCTACAGCTATGTCACCATATTTCTTGAACTGATTTGTATTTAGTTATGAAACTGTTGTACAATAGTCAGCAGAACGAGAAGTGTCGAATATCCGATTTATAATGAAGATCGTGATCTTGCTTATTAGCCTTATGTTACTGTATAGACGCTACTGATCAATACTGTGAACATCATCTGGTAAGTATATGAATGGAGTTTGTTGTCTTGTGGGATTACATGAAGCATAGCAATGAAATTCTCATTTCTTAGAAAAAAATGAAGACTTCAGGAAAAAGTAATTACTTTCGAATCAGATATCTCACATGAAAGCGTCACTCGTCTTTCATGCGAGATACTCGCGTGGTATGAGTTTTCCTATCTGCGGCCAATTATGCTTGAAATCGCACGTGCAGTTTATGTCTATACAATATGAACCATTGTACCATCGAAAGCTTTTCGATTCACTCTAGAATCATAGCAGAGCGAAGATCTGATAGAGATCTCATCTGTACTACAGATATCAGGTTAAAAGGAACGCATTTTCTTGGAGTAATTCTCTCATAGGTATCTAGCATCTACTCATATTGGCAGAAAATGACACTAGAAGATGGTAGAAGTTCTAACAAGACAACAGTGCTCATACTTGCAAGTAAAATAAAATATACGCGTGTCGTGATCCTTTGCATTTTAAGATCGGCCGCCGTTCGATGATTGATTGATTTGAACAAATTCAAACATTGTATATATCTAACAGATCTGACAATGTTTGCCATAAGGTCTTCTAGAAATAGAAAATGATAACATACAAAATGAAATATGTGTGCAGCTATGAAATATTACCAGAACTACAAGTAGTATTCGTCGAACGCGATTTTAATGTGAAGAATACGTTAATTAGCAAAGGCGCTGCCAAGCGAAGCAGGATGACAAGTCCACCATAGAGACCAAGTAGGAGAGTAATTGTATAGGAAATATTGATGTGATTGATTCCAGTATATGTACACGTAGTTGAAGCGCATGCAGCAAAATATTGTGAATAGTTGACTGAGGACGACCATTGTTCGACGAAGAGCTCAGTCAAAAGTTTATCGATGGAAACTCTTAATCGACTTGAAAATTGAAGGCCATTGGACCAAGTCGATTCGAGCTAAATTTAGAAAAATACGTGTACATTACAATAAATCGACTAGTTTTTACTTGATTGAGATTGGGAAAGTAATCGATAAAGATACTGAGACAAGTAGTATTGTACAAGCAATCAAGTGTACTTGCAAGTACAGCATCAATCACGTTACACCCACCAAAGAATCCATCGACTATTGCAGAAGGTTTTGGTTCAAAGTCTGGAGGGTTAACAGGCCAATACAGACTGTTCACAGCACTGTAAAATGGTGTGTACGGATATAATCCAGCCAAAGTGATGTAGCTTTTTGCGTAGCAATTCATGTTGTGAGTTTCATACAGAAACGTGATGTTATTATCCCAGTAATACGTAGTTGAAGCATATAAGTGGTCAAACTTTCCCATACGAGTGTATGCTCCAACAAATATATTGCTTCGTAGAGCAGAGATCAATGAGTTCTGTTGATTTGCTATTTGAAGAAGATGCAGCGTTGTAACAACTTCAACAGGTGCGTTTGCTCTAACGATTTCCACATCCGTCATGATGCGAAATCGAACATCTTCATCTCGCAGGAGTTCAAGACTAATAAGTTGTCTAGTATTAAAATCAGCTAGTAATTGAGATATTGTCTCGTTACAAATCAAACAAAATGCAGCGAGAAGCTCGAACTATATAAAAGAATAAAAAACAATCATATAAACATAACGAACAGTTCAGCATCCTTTCTGGAAGAAGTAGCGTCTACGTCTGCAAACCTCGAGCTCATAGGTTGAATCCAAGTATTCATGCAGTTGCTGTAACTCACAAGATAAAAGCACGCTTTTCAGCCAAATTTATTCACTTACCTGCGAACTGGCACTTTTTCGAAAATCCATCGCAAAGTAAGCACTGACATATGGTGAGTAGAGTGCTTCAATCCATTCTTTGCTAACATAAACACTCGAACATAATGGATGGAATGCCACTGTGTTTGTAGCGAAATCTTTATAAGGTATACTAGCTGTCGAACATGAACAATGAAGCGTTTCACCATGTTGTTCATAGAGTTGTTCGAACAAGGATGGATTTATGTTTGTTACAATGACCTGTTGAGTTGGTGGGAAGATTACAACAATAAAGGTGAGAATATATACGGTCACTAAATGATGAACAGGAATTGAAGAATTTCTAATCGACTGTTTCTGTTATATTAAATAGACTCACTGATAAGAAGAGGAACATATAGTCGAGTAGCATATAGTTGATATTTAATAACTGCTGTTGGATTCTGTGTCGTATGATGTTCATCACCATCATCATCATATTCCTCGGGTATAAAGACGTTGTAATAGTATACATACTCACGAAGCCAATGGAATAGATTTCTCGCATCCATTATCCAGATGTAAGAAGTATTCAATTTCTTATCTAAATAACGTATGCGCAGAAGCTAGTAGTGATACCTAATTTCATGGATAGAAATATTTTCACAGTATTCGAATGATACAAATTCGTTTTTTAAAAGAATACGAATAAGAGACTGATCATCTAATGTTAATATATCATTACTCTGATCATGGAAAAATCATGTCTGACTAAAAAAGAAAAAAAGTGGCATTGAGTAGAAATGAGTTTCTCTTTGCCTGTTTAGATGAAATATGACATAGAATACTGTTGTCATAATTAGCAGAAAATATCAGAAAACAAATATGCAATTAATGATTATTTCATGAAGCGTTATAAAGAACTTTGAAGAAGCATTTTGAATATCATACCTCCGGCCTTGAAAAAATGCAACACAGTGCTTTTATTTAAAAAAAAACTACGCAGTTTAAAAATCTGACGGTGTAGATTTCGATGATGAAATTGGAGTATGACTCTGAAGTTCACCTTAATAAAGAGGATGATAGATATTGACATCTCCCTCACTTCAAAGTCTCATTAATTAAGCGATTGGCACTAACATGTCTTTTTATGACATTCTGTTCAGCTCTCTTATGCAATATTTTAGTTAGAAAAGCTGCGACAACTAAAAACTGCAAAACTTTTTTCTGTATACTTTCTATCCTAACGCCATACACAGCACTGATTCTTACACCAGAATCGTGAATCTATATATCGCATTCTTCGTAATACCGTGGATGACATAAATTTTGATTTTTCCTCCTCTTTAAGAGAGGCTATTTGAATGAGGAACCAAAGTGTCAGGAGGTAGTTCTGAGATTTCGACGTTTCAGAGGTTATGTTGTATATATACAAAAACCAAAATATTGGCATCGTATGTACTACTAATTGGGAAGATGTCGGGGCGGCAATCTTAGCACCCTGAAACGACTTTGCAAACTTGGTGCTTTTTTCATAACTTTCTTGTTTGAGCAATATCTTCGCTAAACATCGATCAAACATACAAGTATCTTGTACTGATCGATAGCGCAAAATCTGCTCTACAAAAATCTCTAAGGAATCAAAGTTCAATAAGTGACTTATGAGATCGAAAAGATTGAAATACAAAAATGCATGACCATCTTTACTTTTTACATATTTGAGCCAAAATTTTACTATTAAAAGGGTACTCCACCAAAAAGGAGATAGATTCTGAAAGCCCGTGAAAAACTGCATATTGTGGTATAAGAACATAAGGGGGAAACGCAGGATAGTTATAAAAGTTTTCAAAACAAATCTATCCACCGCCCGTATTTTTTACCATGAAGTTTTTACGAACATTGAGGGCGTCTTTTATTCTATCTTTCTATACGATTTGATCATTATCAAATTGTTATTATAGAAATGAAGCTTTGTTGAGAATTTGATTTTGTGGAGCTTCAACTAGTAGCAGTACGATATACCATTCTTTTTTGCCGTCTGTTTTGTATATGGAATGAGACGATAAAGATGTGGATAAATGCTGGCGGAATAAATTCATTAGTTGTCTCTAAACCCATCAGAAATATACTTCAAGACCAGAAATAATTTGATCTTTCTGTGTCCGTTAAAAAATCCTTATAAAATGGTGATTATGTTTATTTCTTACGAGCGGATTGTCTGCTGCAAACTAAGAAACATTTTAATAGGGCTTTCTTCTTCCTATATATATATATATACAGATTCTACAATCCTATTGGATAGATCTATAGTTTGCCTGTAGCAAGCACACGACTGTCATAGACAACGGGAACATATGATCTATTGTTTATGAGCGCTCAGACGACCTTCGCTACTGATCTACTCCATTTTCAGATGCTGCAATCCTATTGGTCAGTTGCATAGATTGTCTGTAGCAAGCGTGTAGCTCGTTTTTTCCCGGAATAAAATAGATGCCGACCCCAGGTCGAACAATCCTATACTCGGATCCAGCATCGGATTTTTTTACCTGGGTTTTGGAATTATCATTGCATAAACGGTTGATTATGATAAGAGATAGGCAAAACAAGACGAAACAAAGAAGAAGAGAAAATTAAACGAAAACGGAAAGAAAGTATGCGTGGATATTAACATCTATTGCTGCTACTAAGCGTTCGTTTAACACATTCGACGCGATAGGATCCACATTTTTTATAAGAAACTCGATAGAGAAAAACTCTTTGCTATCTGTTTTCTTAGTCAGATGTCACACATTAAATGTCATTAATTCTACCCTTAATATTATTTAACCGTTTATTAGAAAATAAGATGCTTCTGATTGAAATAATCAGGACAGAAATTCTTCACTTTCTTTTCAGCTGCAGGGCCAACTTCGCTCCATTGTAGTTGACTGATTTTCTCGTAGCAACCAGCACAGCGTCTTCGAACATCGCGAGCAGATCCTTCTTTTTCTTCGAGTATATGGTCTGCAAGTTTGTGCTTCGTTTGGCTTATTGATTTTTGTCTTAGACCTAGTTTCAGCTGCTCGAATGGCATGCCGAGTAGTAACAATGTAACTAGGCTTTCACGAAACTTCAGGATGGTCATATTGCTTGATGAATATTGTTCCTTATATACCAGGTAACTGTTCAGTATAGCCGTTCCAAAAGTCAATTCGAATATTACCTTTCGATACCATTTTATAGATCACTTGAGACATGTATGATATGCTGCTAGTTGATCAGATAATTCAGTACCTTGTCTTCCTTTGTAGAAATCTAACACAACTTGTGGCTTCATAATTAACTCATTTTGAAAATTTGTTTTTCCAGTGTCTACCACAGCTGTTGTTGAAGAAGTTCTCTTCCAGACGCAGTACGATTACTTCTCAGCGTTCTAATAAGGTACGTATCGTGTGCCAACAAACGTTTTGCAAGGGAAGTACTGGTAAAGAAGTTGTCCGCTACTACAGTCCGATAGCATCCTGAGAGCCCATCCAATAAGTTCATCACGACTGTCTCAGCATTCTCAGCACCTGTCATCGGATCTTGCTCACCAGTATAGATCAAATAATTCCATGTATATCCGTTTATAGCCGCTAGCTTGTACATTTTTATTCCATGTTTGTGCCCTTCTCCAGGTATATATTGTTTGAACAAAAGTCTTCCACGCCATGGTATCATATTTTCATCGACTGTAACAACTGCACCAGGAACATATACAAATGAAAATTTGACTCACAGTAAATCCAGAAGTGGTTTCAGTTTGATTAGCCTACCTTGGTTTGAGTGATGATTATGATTGTCTGAAAAACGCCAGAACTTAAGGAGTAACTATACCTATTTCTCACCATTGTACTTAGGGTTATCCAAAAGTAATGTCGGAGCTATCTTATTTTCTTATAAGATGATCAGAAAAAATTTCTTTTTCCATAGAACGATAGAGAAAATGAAGCTCTAGTTTTTTATACGAATTGATCTCTATCTAACTAGTGTTAAAGTGATTAAATTTCGAGAAAAACTAGGATCGCACGAAATTTCACTTTGACAATACGTAATATTTTCGTCCATTTCTAGATTAGTTTCCTCTTTCTGTTCTTCTTTCTTTCGTTCCTTCTGACACTTAGTCGTCCACTATGTCCTACTAGTCACGCGTACGAATATTGTGGTCGTATATCTCGAAGGAAGTCAACGAGCAAAAGTCGAATTGCACTCTTACATTTTAACTATTCAAAATGACCAAGGAAAATATTTGGTTTTACATAAAAACACGTACTGCTGCAACAACTTCTGAGAATAATGAACGAGTTCATCTGATCATCGATGATGATTCTCATGTGACGATAGAAGAAATTCAAGAACAAACTGGTTTAAGCTATGGGACTACTCAGCGAATCATCAAAGACCATTTACACCTTACCAAAATCACCGCTCGCTATATACCGAAAGAACTCACTGATTTCCAACGGAACGAACGAGTTCGAATCTGTCAAGAAAATTTAAAGATGGAACGTGGCGTTTGTGTAGTGTACTGACAGATGACGAGTCTTGGTTTTTTTCACAAACAAACTGGTCAAAAATCATCATATGCTGCTTGGGTGGCAAAAGGTGATGCTTCACCTACAGTACCTCGTCGCGACCGATTTGATCCAAGAACATTATTTTCCATCTTTTTTAAATCGACTGGCCCGCAGTTGGTTCATCATGTGGAACGAGGCCAAACTATCGACCAGGAATATTATATTGACAACTGCTTGCAACCTCTTGTTGAAGAAATCAAGCAACAACGACCTTCGTATGGCACAAATCGTATTCTTCTGCATCATGACAATGGCAAACCACATATTCATCGGGATGTGTCTAGTTATCTTGAATATGAAGGTCTTACAATTATAGCTCATTCGCCGAATTACCCTGATTTATCACTATGCAATTTCTGGCTATTCGATTTGATCAAACCGATTCTCAATCTTTACATGACGCTATAGCTGCGTTTATGTACTCGTTGGATAAGGATGAATATCGAAAAACGTTTGACAAATGGATCGAGAGAATGCAGTTGTGTCGATAATCAAGATGCCTGCTTTGAACATTTGATGGAATAAAGTTTTTTTTTTATTTGCTTACATCTCATTTTCTTTCGATCACCATCCCTTTTGTATGCATTCACAACAATACGTAAGAAAACTAATCTAGAAACGGACGAAAATATTACGTATTGTCAAAGTGAAATTTCGTGCGATCCTAGTTTTTCTCGAAATTTAATCACTTTAACACTAGTTAGATAGAGATCAATTCGTATAGAAAACTAGAGCTTCATTTTCTCTATCGTTCTATGGAAAAAGAAATTTTTTCTGATCATCTTATAAGAAAACAAAATAGCTCCGACATTACTTTTGGATAATCCTAAGTATTACGTGTACGACTGATAAGGTGTAAAGAACAAAAAAATGACGTAAGGGATTTTGTCTTTAAGTACGATGGGATGACTCATTATGTGATAATACCAACAAGAGAACGATGAAGAGTCAATAGAGGATTACGAAAAGGTTATCAACTGCTTTTATTATAGGCGAATCCTTGACGGAAATCATTATTTCGAATCAATTTTCAAAGAAAAATGAATCGTGTCAAATGTGTTTACAACTGTGGCAGATATAAAGAAAATAAAGAAGTTAAATCAGCGCATCATGAAGTCACAAGTTATACTGAATTACAATGAAGGAAAGCAAGGTATGGATTTATCTGTTCAGTTGTCACCATATTATACGAGGGATGTCCAAGGAACTGAACTTTGGGAATTCTTCACGTTACCTCAAATATCAGCCAAAATACATCATTTCACCATAGAACTGGGAACTGACCCACATATCCTTCACGATTCCCATTCAATTCCTCCATCAATTCCTAAGAGAATCATTCTGACAAGAAATATACACTCGGTACCCATTCACAATCACCTTCCAGTTCTTCAGTTCCTCGACAGCGAACTGAACCTGGTACAATACCGATCAAAGGAACTGAGTGAATGTGTAGAATTGATCAACAATACCCTTACGAGGAACTGATATAAAACAAATTATTAGTATATATGATGATCTTTTATTTTCCCATGAAAATCTGTAGAACTGAGGAATTAAGACAGTTCTGCTGATAGTACCTAGGTATTGTGGTCAGTTCTACTAGGTACCTTAAGGGTACCCTGCTCAATTCCTTTGAGGAACTGACATACGATGTAATATTGATCTATATGATCATCTTTTATTTTCCCATGAAAATCGGTAGAACTGAGGAATTGAGACAGTTCTGCTGATAGTACCTAGGTATTGTGGTCAGTTCTATTAGGTACCTTGAAGGTACCCTGGTCAATTCCCTTGAGGAACTGACATAAGATATAAGATTAGTATATATGATCATCTTTTATTTTCCCATGAAAATCTGTAGAACTGAGGAATTGAGACAGTTCTGCTGATAGTACCTAGGTATTGTGGTCAGTTCTACTAGGTACCTTAAGGGTACCATGGTCAATTCCTTTGAGGAACTGACGTACGATGTAATATTGATCTATAGTATCATCTTTTATTTTCCCATGAAAATCGGTAGAACTGAGGAATTGAGACAGTTCTGCTGATAGTACCTAGGTATTGTGGTCAGTTCTATTAGGTACCTTGAAGGTACCCTGGTCAATTCCCTTGAGGAACTGACATAGGATGTAATATTGATCTATAGTATCATCTTTTTTTTTCGCATGAAATCGTTAGGAATTGGGAGAGGTCTGATGATGGGGTGCAGATGGGTGAGATTTTTTTCTAGCGATCGTGGATGTGTTTAGCTTATGTCGAATGCGAAATTGAGGAAGTCCAAGGTAGTAGGTGAGACAGTTTGGTTGGAATGCGAGGTATGTAGAAAGTTGGTTGTTGAAGTGTGAGATTGTGGAGGAAGTTTGATATTATGAAATTAGGAAAAAGGTGAAGTCGCATCGGTTTTCAATAAATGAATACGAAGTGTGACGGATTGTTTTTTGGGTGGCTATTTGATTTAATATGTGAAAAATGGTGTTCGGTTTCGTTGAATATGTTCATTGAATGAATGTGGTTGGTGAGTATGAAATGTTATGAAAGATTTAGTCGCTGTAGCTGCGTGACTGGTGATGATATTGCTTTGATATTGGTGATCTGTTAACTGTATGGTAGATTTTTTTTATTGATGGTGGCTTGGTTTTATTTAACGCTGCGTGATTAGGTGATGTTTTTTATCAGGGGGCAGTATCGCAATGTGCTCGTACGCGTTGAAGATTTTTAGGTTTTGGTTTTTTTGTTGCACGGTAAATAGGTAATGTTGTCGTTTGGTGGATACTAGTTGTTTTTTAGATGCATTCCATATGGATTTGAGAATCAAGACACCTATTTGATGTATCGGTATGGTGAGATAATTGATTTTGAAATTTATGTAGGGATAGGTTTTATTTTTTTACGATTACATTGGTTTGAATGTTCTTTTCTTAACTGTACTGGTCAATAGTTTGTTGCCGCAAGATGTCAGTGGCGGTTGTTACGTCATATAAATGAAGGATTAGTTTTGGTCGAATTGCGTATGAACATTCAATTGGTCCACGTGGTCAGTATCTATTGGCTCTGTTTAATGCGTTTTTGTTTGTTTCTTTTTTTTGTTTTGATTATATGTATAAGTATCGAATGTTTTAGTCGAATTTATTGATTTTTTGGTAATATCATTTAATAAATATCAGATGGTTGTAGTTATTTTCATTAGAATAGAGATTATGTGCTGCCAATCGTATCTTGATTGAATTTTAATGTTTTAGAATTACACGTTCTCAAATACAATTTCGTTGACTTTTTCCTGAACTTATATCTGTACGTCAACAATTATTTTTCAACATCTCCTTCATGCCGAAACCACCGTCGAAATTCGACGAATCTATCATCCGTCATTTTGATCGGGCATTTCATAGGATCATCACAAAGCATCTGGTTGAGCTCCGTCATGTGTTATCACCATATTTGCATAACATGCTATTTCATCATGCAAAGCTTCATGAAATTGACTTCGTTGGTTATGCGTATGAATTAATTGGCATCATGTCATATTATTTGAAATCATCTTTTATCTATCGTTTTAAATCTTCTGACAACCCATCACCAACACATTTTTATCAATTGTTAATTGCATTATCAGGTAGAGAATCCTTGCAAATATATTTTTGACAAATAAAACAATTTCTTTTGCAGCATTTGGTAAATCAACATTACATACATTAATTAAATCTTCAGTAATGAATGAACATAGCGTTCGAACAACTGGCGAACTATACGATCATCGAAAGCCTGGTGTGCTGGAAGGTTTTGACGTGTTTGTTGACGAAACAAGTGCTGCTGGACTTCAAGCAGGACTTGTCAATGGAGATAAAATCATTTTTAGTGACGAAGGAGAAAATATTTTGAAAAATAATGGTTTGTTGGTCGAAGAAAATGCATCGGTATCATCCACGTATGATCTACGTACTTTCATCTTATCATATTATGTAAATATGATATTTTAACCTTTTTATGATAATTTAGAAGTTACTGTCTGTCTCTATTTCAGGGGTCATTGCGAACGTTCAACAAAGAGTTAAAATCAGGTTCATTAGCTGCAAATATTGGTCGTTTAACCATCAGTTGCCTCAGTACAAGTGAACCAATTGTCAGAATGTTAGCTCGTCGATTTAGTGGTGGGCAAGTATGTCCAATGCTTGAACGTTTTGCAATATTATATGCCGAAACTAAACCAAGATATTCTTTTCAACGTCCAAAAGCGGTTAAATACAAAATGGCATCATTGTCTCAGTATATTATGGTACTGGGACGAATGTAAGTACACTGGTACCATTCTTACACGGGGACCATGATGAAACTCATCAGGAATCAGTATAGAAATTTATCTCTTAATATAATTCATAGAGGATGTGAGATAGAATTTTTCAATAAAAAACAATTCGGAAGTGTTTGTTTGTGTTTTATTATCAAATCTTTTTGAATAGAGGAGAACATGTCATTTGATTGTTTTATGAATGCGAAGAAAAATCCTAACCCACGTTGCCAATAAGAAGTTTCTTTAATAATCAGTACGATAATCATTGCGTAGTCTTCTTTCTGAAAAAAAAAACAGCAAAAGACTTTATAATTTTAATTTTTTGGCTGGAAACTGGTAGAACTAAAATGATAAAATAATTTTACTTCTAGTGAAAACATCGAATTTTTTTTCGACGAAGAAGCTGAGAATCTCTATGCTTCATACGGTGATGCTTTGACATATACCAGTGAGTAGTAATTTTCTTTTTGTCCAAATAAGACGACTGTTTTCTTCTTTTTTAGTGAAACAAAATGAGCGGCACGCTCCATGGTTGAGCACTCGATTTGGCAAAAGTCGAGATCAATCACTTCGACTTTGTGCATTATTGCAAGGATTGGAAATGGCTGCTGTTGTTTGCCATGACCTTTTTCTTGAAGATTCGAGCTTCACGAATGGAATTGCAGATAAACGATTTTTCGAGGCAGCTGTGAAAAAAACCCAGCAACTTTTCTTTCCATCATCAATGAATCAAAGACAACTGTCTATTGGCATTGAAATTGTACAAGGTGCTATTTATTTAACTAACAAATTTATTGATCAATATCGAGAAATGTTCGAGCCAGACAAACGTGAATTAAAGCGAGTGACATTTTAACTATGAAATATTATTAATATCTTACTCTATTTGCATTTTTACTTTTATAGTCGTATGGATTTATCTTTCACAATTGAACGAAATTCCACCGAACAGAAGCCAGCCGATTCGAAAGAAAAGTACCATACAGTCGATTATGAAGAAGATGATATTCAAGATCAACGACAACCAATGCCGATCAAACAAAGTAGCAGTAGATTAACAAAGAAAAAAGCTCGTGAAGATGAAACTGTGGCACAAGCTGTTGCTAATTTTGATCCAACATCCGATAGTGGCAAAAGAATTATTAACTTGATTCTTAATGTCAAGTCTGCCATTTTAATTAAATCAACATTATCACGTCATACAACTTTGAAGAATTACATTCCATTGTTAGATCCAGCACTTGATTATCTGATACATGATATTGGACTGTTACATTTATTTGATTGTGGTGCTGTTGTTACGTCAAACAATCATCGTTCAGTACCTGTCTATGTAAAAAAAATGATTTCACCTGTATCTGCTAAAGAAAACTTATGTTTATCAAAATTATTGAAAAAGTTCTCAATTGAACATTCAGATTATATTGCCACGTGGTGGAATATTTCTTTACCTTCAACAATTACTTTATCAGAAGAGGTGTATGATTTTTTGTCTACTGCTCCATATACAACATTTATAACTGTTCCAATTACTGTATGGGCTCCAAGAACTCGACTACAAGAACCTCCTGTGATTGGGTAAGTATACAATTTGAAACGTAAACTGATCTACATTTAAAGAGAATTTTCAAGAACATCCGTCATTTTGCAACAGACTATATATATAGACTCAACTAGATGTTCTTTATCCAAGCAGCATGCCTTAAGATTTTCTTGTCGCTACTTTCGTGTCAATGAATCAGTTGTCAATGAAAATCTTCTCATTCTGCAAATACACTATTTATTATCGAAGATATCACAATAGCAAGAGGCTAAAAATTTTTATATTATTCTTTAGTCTTCGTCAAGTAAACAATCATGCTGAACCTGTGCAATCAGCTTTACCTCTTGTACAACCATCAACTGTATCTGTTCATGCTCGTTCGAATATAGTAAGCAAAAAATTTTTTGATAGAAAATGCAATGAATATTAATACTCTTTTTTTATCCTAGATGCCAAGAAATCCAATGTACTCTTCTGGTAATAATTCGATGGATACTAATGAAAATAATTCTACCGATTCCAACAGCGAAAAAAATGCTTCAGTTATATCTACCAGTATAATCGATCGTCAGCAACAACCAATTCAAACCACGACTAATGATTTGGATACTCATGATGAAAATCATATTCAAAAGCAAAACTTTCAGCGAACACAAAAACGTAGTGCACCAGTGGAAACAACTAATCAATCAATTCCATTATTGTCAACTGGTAATCTACCAACAGCGACAAATTTAATGTTGACACGACAACCATCTACCAAACGAAAAAAGAAATAGCTGGGTAAGGAGAGAGAACAATCTAATCTTAACATATCAATACTACGATGTTTTTAATTTTTAGTCAATTTGTTCTATCTTCCATTTATTTAAACAATCGGCTTCTTCAACCGTTACCTCTTCTCTTCAAACAATATCTTAATGCATTTATGGTGAAGATGTTGACTTTGTGAAACATGTTTTGTTAATTGTTTGTTCCCAGATTCAAACTTTTCCCATGCCATTCACATCCATAATTCACTCGCTCTCCTTTACATTTCATTTTCGGCTCACGGGAACAATTTCAGTCTGCGGTAGATATAGATAAGTTCAATAAAACGTATCGTTTATGTAGGTTTCATGATAGGCGTGTCGAATATTGTTAAATTTTTTTTGCTGTCTTGTTTCTTTAGATATTTTGTTTGTTTATTGAAATTTGTTCATTCCTCTTTTTTTGTTGAACTTTAATACATTAGAACTGATGAAATATTGAAAACCTGTGAATGAATGATTGAAGATGAAATAAAACATTATAGGATGTGTGCTGAAAATATACATGTCTAATGAAAAAGATGATTAGATACGCACTGAGTATTTTTATGCCCTACCTTTCTATTCACATTTCCTTCCTTGTTATTGTTTTAGATAAACATTACACCACAAATATTCAGCAAATAACCAGCGATTCCAAAATGTTCGCCTATTTACAACCATCAACATCTTCTACTACCACTGAACATTTGTTTAATGTATCAGAACTTGTTTTTATTGAACGTGTCGATAAATATTTCCATGCATTAACTCCGAACAAAACCAAACATATTGCAAATATTTGTTCGAATACATTTGGTCGTGCAATTGATGAAGATATGATCCGATATACCCTAAGTATGTTTCACAACGGCTTTTTACCTCAGTTCAATTTATATTGTGATGTTCCAAATATTGTAAATGTAAGTACTAATTGATCTAGTTCATTTATTTCTAGCTTAATCTTAACTTAACCTTCTATAATCATTCGTGAATGTCAATACTAACAGTATAGGAAATATATATTACTTCTATTATCTAGCTTTTAGAATATTGTTTCAACGTATTTGCAGGATAAATATTGAATCTTTTCTAAGAAGAAAAATACATTACTGAACGCCCCGTGGCAATAGATCCGTATATAAATGATAGGTTTTTATATTCATTTATAAGTTAAAAGTTAGGAAATAATGAAGAATGAAATTTTAGAGTGAAATAACATCTAGTTTAAACATCGTAATCGCAAGACTTATAAAAGGTCAAAATTTTCGTTACTCGAATTAGTTTCTGATGTTAACTAAACTCCATCGAATAAGTCGATATGATAGTAACAGATTGTCCATGAATTAAAATATTGTTTCACATTTTAAGGTCGTAGTTATAATAACATAACACAGCTTCTTTCAAAAGCTTCTTCGATTCATACACCTCTAGATGAATTACAATAATAAATGTAGCATTTCCAACAATACGCAAATTGATTTTGAAGATTTACACAGTGGTTATTCGTTTGATTACGATTTGCATGTTAGTTACGTTCTAATTATTCTGTTATCGCATATCAGTATTCTCAAATTTCATTTGAATAGAGACATGGCCTTCACTGAACTTTGGAGTGTAATTACAATCATTTTTCCTTCGACGCATGAATATTACAAAATAATTTTTCTTTGTAGACTTATGCTGAACAAAACAAATTATATACATTAAGCAACAATGTCTTCTCTGCTATTTGTGGAAAATATTGTTTACAATGTCGTACAACTTATTCCCGATTACTTTCCAAACGAGTAACAGTTTATCAATTTGATGGAAAAATCGAAGATGGTCTTATCCGTTATTATAGTTGTACCCATGAAAATAGTAACAAACACGAACAACCAGCAACAGAATACTATCCAAATTTCATCAAATCTTTTCACGAAAAAATTATTACAAAAGAATTGTTTAACAACACCGAGTATTTTTATATAGGTGGTGACAGTATCTTTGCGAAAAAAATATTTACACAATTTGAAACACTACTTGTCACTTCACATACAAATTTTCAAGGTTTCACGGAAGCGTACAATCTATTACATAATTATGAACAAAATGATCGGCGATTCGCTGAACGTCGTATTTTCTCTCAAGTGTGGATGATTTATCAAGTGATCAATTTTGCATTCTTTATGGGTTATGAACAAATATCACTGGTATGAGTTTTATATCATAATCTGAATAATAAAACTTGTAGAGAGCTATTGCTGGGATTCATAGAAATATCACTTTCCAATTCAGTATTCTTTCTGCTCGTGATGCAAATATCTAAATTTTCTTCAAATATAATACTACTAAATAACGAGCAGTATCACTCGATACTGAATTGTTGCTTCTGCGGAACTTTCCTCAAATGCTTTTACATATTTATATATAATCATTTGTTTTGTTTATTTTATGTAGCCAATAACGATGGATCGACAACAGAATGATTCATTCTTTTATTCAATTTATGACTCATTATATACACTCTTCGTTCGTTTTTGGTTAAACCATTCAGAACACAAACCATGCAGTTTGAACTGTTCGCGAGCTTTAGTGGTCGATGGTAATCAAAAACTCCGACGTCGTATATGTCTCGACAAAAGTAAAACCATATCGACCGCCGAAATGTCTTCAATTAATATTGGATGCGATAAAACACCCGTATATAAATCATTATATTGCAGTGAACATTTACCTCAATCACAATCACGACGAAACATAAATGATAGACATTTGACCAAGAATCAAATTCACGCAACAAAAGCCAAAAATAAATTAAAAATTCACAAGAAACATTTACGTTCAGAACGAAATTTTATACAACATGAGCTCATTAGTTGTTCAACATTAAAAGAAATGCCAAATCAATACATTGACAAGTGTGTGAGATCATTTGGTATTATAGTTTACGTCACCAATTGCAATGTCACGGTGGCATTTAATGAAATTTTCAGATCGGAAACAATCAAAGAAATCCTCAATGGTTTAATCTCTATTGTTAATATCTCACCAACTTTACCTCCAGCCATTATTTATGATGATGCATGTCATCTTATTAGAAGATTGATTGATGGACAAACAAAAAAAGAATTCAAAATCACACCAGCAATCCATTATTTAAACACTAAGACCTATAATATTGATAGAATGCACCTGCAAAACCACAAAGACAAGTGGTGCAGAAAATTTCTTGATCCTCAAACAAATCCATTACTCGTAAATGTTAACACAGAAGCATGTGAACAACTTTTTAGTTGGTCAAACGGCTATGCAACATCTTTAACGAATATGAATCAATCCAGATGTCGACTAATGCTGTTATTAACATTCCATTTAAGGAACTGCTATCTTAAAAAAATCAATCCTCACTTATTTGATATCGGAAAAGAAATTGTAACTAAACCTCGACCAATTCTCATATAAAGTTTTTTGTAATTTAAATTGTTTATATTTTTTGTAATTGAAGATTATTTATATTTTTGTCACATATCATATGTAATCTTATATAATCTTCAACGTTTTAACTCTATCCTGAACTCATTCTTTAACATAATGTCATTTTAGCGTTCTTTTGTTAGGTGAAATTATCTCAATAAAACTAAAACCATATGATACTAATTATTCCCCTTCTTTCATTAAAATACGTAGTACTTCATGATAATACTCTTTATATATTAATATTCTAGATGCGACCAAAAGGACAAGCACCAAACAGAAACGCAACCGTTTCCAATCAAAACAAGAAAAAAAATACGAGTAACAAGCAAAAAATCAATACAACTGATTCTCAGCGTATTTCCGCTCAAGAACAATCAGCAGAATCTATTTCAATGGAAAATTTCAATCAAAGTAACCAGGCAAAGAACGATCATGTAGAGAAGACACCACATCCCAATATGTTTTCTATTCTTCACGATCAATTTGAAGACGACGTCGACAATCAACCACTATCTAATCGACTTGATTTTCTTGCTGGTCATCAACCAGCTGCCAATCCTATCACTGAATGTGATACTAGTGACGATGACACATCAGAAAACAACAACCAACAAATTCAATATGCCGAACCAACGAATCAAGAAATAACACACTCCACAGATAGTGAAACTGAATATGATCAACCTCATCACAACATTTTGCAAACCACACGAAATAATATCCATTCAGAACAAGAAATCCATCACCCTCAACCGACTTTAGCAGAAGCTCTTATTAGTCTCTATGACGATGTAGATGAATACACAACATCCAACATCGAACCACCGATTAAAAATCCATTCGAATTCGATTTTACAAAACGACAAGTAACGAATCTCCTTCGTCCTCCAAAACTTATTTCAACCAAATTAAACATTGATTCAACAACATGACCAACACAAATTCCCAATATTCTACGAACAAGCACTCCACACCATTCTTAAAAAAAAACTTCTAACCTATCTCTTTCCATCCAACATTTGTAATGTTCTTTTCTCACTATTGAAAATAAATATCGAAAAAATAAATACGCCACAACTTGCAGCTGCAAAAAGTATACACACATTCGAAAAATCATGTAATAATATCAAATGAAAAAAGAAAAATCAATATCTCCACAAAACCATTGTAAACAGAAAAATGCGACAACTTCTCCACACACAAATAGAACCATGAAAAAGACGCACGCAATATAAGCTTAACAAAGAAACCACAGCCACCTTTCCAATAGTTCTCAGCCCTCAGCGCAATACTTGGTAATCATCAATACTATTATTTCACCATTGCACTTACTGACACGACTTCAACTCAACACCATAAAGATTCATAGACTCGATCCCACGAGCAAATCAGAGATGATCATATACATCAATATTACATCGTATGTCAGTTCCTCAAAGGAATTGACCAGGGTACCCTTAAGGTACCTACTAGAACTGACCACAATACCTAGGTACTATCAGCAGAACTGTCTCAATTCCTCAGTTCTACGGATTTTCATGGGAAAATAAAAGATGATCATATATACTACTATTATATCTTATGTCAGTTCCTCAAGGGAATTGAGCAGGGTACCCTTAAGGTACCTACTAGAACTGACCACAATACCTAGGTGCTATCAGCAGAACTGTCTCAATTCCTCAGTTCTACAGATTTTCATGGAAAAATAAAAGATCATCATATATACTAATATTATATCTTATGTCAGTTCCTCAAGGGAATTGA